GAGAGCAGTAACTCACACCCGCCTCAACCACCCCCCCAAATCTCGTTCTCCAGGCCAGACCAGGGCCGGGGCCCCGTCTTGACGAACCGGGTCCGTCCGCCCGTCTTTCTCCCCTGCGTCGGCCCAGCCCTGTCCGTATATACATAGCTTTCTTCTACTGCCACGCCTGCTACCTACCCATCATGTCCAACCCAAGTGCCGTCGTCAGGACGGCTCCCATCGCCATTGCTCCAAAGCCTCCCCGCCGCCAGAACTCTTATCTCCAGGACAGCTTCACGAACCTCGATATCCTCCGCGGCAGCATGCCTGGTCGGGAAATCACCGAGTCTGTCGGCTCATACACCACGCGTTCTCTCAGCCCGTGCGAATCGTGTCAACGTTCTAGGGTCAGGTGTATTGTCAGCGAAGACGACGACAGCTGCATACCCTGCCAAGCTAGCGGCTCAGATTGCTCCCTGCTCAACAGCCCTCAGCCGAGGAAACGAAAGCTGAACGGCGACTTTGACGACCCCATTGGTAAAAGAAGGTCAGTCCCAATTGCCTCTCACATCATTCGTCTAGTTTCTCTCTCCCTCCCCTCTCCTCCCGCTCCTCCTCCTCCTAGCTCCTGCTGTCCCCCGCGCGCGCGTGTGGCCTTAATACTGGCACTGCTTCCTGCTCCCCGCTAGCCTGGGTCGCTTCCCCTTGTCATTTCTTCTTTTCTGCGCCCGTTGGATGTTTCTTGGGCTGCCATGGGGGCACGCCGCAGCCAAGGGGGTCACGTCTGATAACGAACCTTAATCTCTGACACGTGATTGGTCCAATAGCTCGCCCATCAGGACCGATATCAGAAGGCGAAGGCAACACCAGCCCAGCCTCTCCAGTACCACCGGCAGCAGCTCCTTCATTGAAGACATGGCGAACGTCGGAGGCCCAACTCTGCTCAAGCGGACGCTGGGTCTCCAAAACGACCGGTACAGCCAGTACATCGGTCCGACCACCGACTTTGAGCCTTCTCTCATCAACCTCTCACCATTTGATCCCCATGACGAGAGTCTTCTGGCCCGCGGCACCCTCCGCAAGGTCAGCGACGATGACACCTTTCTACTATTACCTGACTTCAACACCCCGGGCCACGAGCACGTCTTGGAGGATGTCGAGGCCATAGAGGGCCTCGTGCGGCCCCATGGTCGCAAGCTTGTCGACCTCTACTTCCGCATCGTTCATCCCGCATTTCCGATCATCCAAAAAACCGTCTTCCTGGAAAAGTACGAGCGCAGCTATCGCGAATTTTCTCCTTGTTTATTGGCAGCCGTCTACCTGTTTGCGATCAACTGGTGGGAGCACGATGAGGACCTGGCCCGACTACCGAAACCAAACATTTCCGACATGGAGCGGCTGATCCGGACGACACTCGCCGACGCCATGTACAGGCCGAAACTGTCCACCATCCAGGCTGGTCTTCTGCTGTCGCAGCGACCCGAGGGCGACCAGTGGGCCCCGACTGCCCAGCTGGTCGCGATCGCCCAGGAACTTGGCCTGCACCTCGACTGCACGAACTGGAAGATACCTCCCTGGGAGAAGGGGCTGCGGAAGCGCCTCGCATGGGCTCTGTATATGCAGGATAAATGGGGATCTCTCGTTCACGGCCGTCCATCGCATATCTTCTCCTCAAACTGGGGCGTGCAACCGCTGACACAACATGATTTCCCCGACGTCGAGTGGGACGAGAACGATGTGGAGGAGAAACTGGAAATTGAGCGTGGCCGAACTCTGTTCGGTCAAATGGTTCAGCTGTCGCAAGTCCTTGCCGAGATTCTCGATACCTTCTTCACATTACAAGCCCAGCAGACCATCACGAATGCAGGCGGACAAGGCACCCACCTGATTTTGTCCATGGCCAAGCCGATACAGCTGAAGCTGAAAGAATGGTACGCCAGCTTGCCCGCGACGATCCGTATGGACAACTCGTACACCACCAACACAGTCCCATCGAATCGTCTGTCGAGTATCGGCTACCTCCATCTCGCCTACTTCGCCACCGAAATCACCCTCCACCGTCGCATTATTCGGTCACTGGAGGCCACCGGCGCGGCCGTCGACCAGTACGTACAGCATATATGCCGCAGCGCAGCCAAGGCTCGTCTCATTTCTGCCATGGACTTTGTCAACCGCCTGAACTCATCTCACTTGCGCTCGTTCTGGTACTTTGCTTCCAAGACCAACTTTGCCCTCATTGGCACTTTTGGATCTCTCCTTTGGGCAACATCTCCAGGCAGGGAAGAGGCTGATTGGTACCGCCGACGCTTGGGAGAGTACCGTTGGACGCTCTCCGTCAGCTCCAAGCCTGGTGAAGGCAGAGGACTAACCAACTTCGCCATGACGATGCTCGATATCTCGACCGGTCTGCTTAAGAAGCTCCCCGAGAAGCCATCGATGAGCCGCAGTGGGAGCGTCGTCGACATGGGGCCTGGAGGCATCAGCAGCAGCTTTGGGAGCAATGGGATCCTAGCACTCGGTCAGAGTGCGCCTCCTACCATGACTTTCGGAAACTTCAGCGGGTTGCCGAGTGCCGACGTCAGCAATGCCCAGAGCCCTCGTAGTCCAAGCGCGGACAGCAGCGACGACGAGATGTACGAGACCTTTGCCCCGACGGCAGGCATGGCCAACATGGCCGATTGACGGTTGCAGCAGCTCCGCTCGGAGCTGCAAGTCGGAATATAATGACACTATGACGAGACGAGACGCTCACTTGAGCAAGCATACCCTCGAGAGAAGCATACCCTCTAAGAGATGCTTCCTGTTGTTTTGCGCTTTCTGTAGGAGGATCAAACTTTTTCGCTGTTTGGGTAAAAGGGGGAAGTGCATAATGATCTGCGGGATACCACCGGGTGCTAGGGCGACGGACAACAACCCAAGAGGGGGTTCAGAGGAGGGGATGATGATATTGGCCGCTGCCTCTGGCTCCTCCCATCTTTATGAAATTTGGACTTTGATTTGGATCGACGACGCAACGGGAACGAAACGCTATCAGCGGTGCCGGCGCAATTCTGGGGGGTTTATACCGTCCGTCATTTTTGAGCGGGGTAGAAAATAGCATCGTCTTTGGATGTTGAGCGATCCATACTTAGCATAGATTGAGATTTGGATGTGAAATGATATACCTTGATGTCCTGCTTTGGCTTATAGACCTTGATGGCCCCGGTTCCCTTGACTATTGCTGTTAGATATTTGTCAGTGACTGGCGAAGTAACGCTTCACGTAGACGGCGACCAACGAGTTGCAACTGATTGTTTCCCGACGTTTTCGTATTGGTGGGTGGAGCCATCAGGAGGCGTCGGAGGAAAATCACCAGAGCCCCGATCATGTCTAGAATCTTGCTGTCCTATGCCACTCAGACACTGAAATAATGACGGAAAATAGTGCTGCAATCGTGTTTAGTAGCTGCTGAGGCTGAGGTAGCTTTTGCTCTTCTGTTAAGCGATAGCCCTGCCTTCAAGTAAGCAGGTGCATAAGTTAACGATAAATCAGACCTACAAAAGGAATTTCTCCCGGTACGGGACTCGAACCCGTAACCCCTGGATTTCAGTATTTCCTAAAAGTCCAGAACGCTAACCATTGCGCCAACCGAGAAGCCGTGAGGGTGTGTGCTTGTTGACGTCGATGGGCGAGCCAGCAGCTGACACGGGTAGGAGCGTGGCCGTTGGGTGTTCGGGTGAATGAAACTGGTGCTCAGGACGGTGAGTTTGCAACCAAGGTAGGTTCTCTGTTACCAAAGTGGAGTTTCCCAAGCTCAGATGAGATTGTACCGCGTGGCGAAAGTGAGCCATTCGAGCCTGGGCTGGACGAGAAAGGATTCGACAATAGCCTAATACCCTTCCAGGTTGCCCGATGGAGTTTATTCTTATGACGAAGACTGACACGACGGGTGGGCTGTGTCTGGCGAGATCGCCAGACTGCCACTGTCTAGTCAATGAAAAAGTCAAGTCACTCGATCTCGTTGTGCCTCTTACAGACTCAGGAAATACTGATGTTCTCCTGTTCTGCAGCCGTGTTTCTTGGGCTCACGATTGAAGAAGCTCTAGGTTTGGCACTCCTGATTGTTTCAGACCGTTGATTGCTGCTCTGAGGAAGCTGGCCGACCATCGAGAGGCAGCCCTACTTCATCTTGAATGTTTCACGTCTTTTGATGACGAAAATACTCGTGTAAGTCGATGACGGGATGGCATCGTTGATGCGTGCGGGAAGGTTGGACGACGAACAATGGTGAAGTAATCTCGCCAGGGATTTTTAAAGAGACACGAGCGGCTTGAAGTTTCAAGAGCACGGTATGTGCGGAAGAGTCAGCTCAAGAGTCTGGAAACAGAGTCGTGGTGGGTTGGGCCGCCTCATGTATCCAGCCTCCAGCCAAAGCACGCAATCGATGGTGACAATTGCCCATCAGCCTCGCCTTCGACCAACCGTTACACGGCATTCATCCTTAAAGCGGCAACCGTCGGCTAAGTTCAAGACATTGGTTGATCTTGAGTAAGAGGCATAACCAATTGCCATCCAATACGTATTGAAGCTTCAGACTTGGACGGTTGGATGCCTTGCTGAATGGCGGTAACCGTGCATATCGACAGACGACAACAGGACGACATCCGCACATGCAATAGTACGGGTCTGACAGTATAATCCTGTGGCGAATGTACCTTTTGTATTACTATGCATATACACGAGCGAGAGCCGACTTCTACTGGACCAGTCCGTGGGAGGCAAGCGACAATTAAGGGAAGAAATGAAGCGAAGTCCTCGGGGCGATACGTACTTCCTCAATCCCCATTATATAAGCAAATTGCCCCGCAGTATGCCACACACACAGTGACACCCCACCATGTCCGACGCGGTTGAACATTCTCCATCGTCGTCATCATCAAGGCAACCAGAGACCACCACGACCTCGAGCCGTCGCAAACCCACTCCACCAATGCGCGACCCATAACCACACATCAGCGCCCTCACGGAGACATCCATCCAAGATGCAGGGTTTCAACATGGGACGCTACGTCCCGCCCGACGTCGAGGGCACGACGTCAGGCAACAAGCTCCACGGCAAACACGCCCTCGGCGCGCGCGCCTCCAAGCTGTCCTCCGGCATCCTCACCGTCCGCTTCGAGATGCCCTACGCCATCTGGTGCTCCACCTGCCCGAAGCCCACAATCATCGGCCAGGGCGTGCGCTTCAACGCCGAGAAGAAGCGGGTCGGCAGCTACTACTCGACGCCGATATGGCAGTTCCGCATGCGCCACGCCGACTGCGGCGGCGCCATCGAGATCAAGACCGACCCGAAGAGCACGGCGTACGTGGTCGTGTCCGGCGCGAAGAAGCGGGACGTGGGCGAGGACGACACCGCGGCCGGCGCGGTGCCGAGGGAGGGCGCGATGGTGATTATGACGGACGAGGAGAGGCAGAAGCTGCGGAGCAACGCGTTTGCGAGCTTGGAGAAGACGATCGAGGACAGACAATTGCTCGCGCAGGCGACGGAGAGGATCGACGAGCTGGAGGACGTTTCGAAGCGGCAGTGGGACGACCCGTACTCCCGCAACAAGGCCCTGAGGCAATCGTTTCGGGTTGGGAGAAAGGAGCGCGAGAAGGAAGCTGCGGTGGGCGAGGCGCTCAAGGATAAAATGAGTCTGGGCATCGATCTCGTGCCCGGGACGGAAGAAGATGCGCAACGGGCGGCACTGGTGGACTTCGCACCCGACGATGATGTCACAAGAGTCGGCAAAGCATTGGCGAAGCCCTTGTTTCGCTCTGCGGGCAGCTCCAGGAAAGCTCAGGCCGAAGCTCCAAAGGGCACGCCAAAAGCGGAGCTGTTGGCGTCAAAGAGAAGGCATCATATTGTGTCGGAGATTGTAGGCAATACACGCATGTCGCAAGACCCATTCCTGCTAGATGCGCGGACGGAGCGGACACCACCGAGAATACCCGGTCTGAAGAGGAAACGGGACGCAAAAGCTGAGGATCCAAAGACGATTGAAGACGGGCCGAAGTTTCTGCCTTCCAAAGCTCTAGTGGGCTACGATTCAGACTCAGGATGAGGTAACCCCCAAGTTTTACGACATGGCGTTTTGAGAGGCACACTTTGTGATACCCAGGGATTTTAAGTATTGTCTATATATGGTTCGGGATGAGCGATGCATCATGACATTATTTGACTCATCGCGTGCCTTCTACACACAAAAAACAAAAAATAAATAAGTGAAACTGGTTGGCTTGCCGCGCAACGCTGGCCACATTATTTGAATAGCACGGTCGCTGTGCAGATACACAAAAACCCCAGACCTTCTGAGCCAAGGTACTTGTGACGGCTAGTTTCGATCAGTATATAATCATTGGCAACTATGGGAGGCCCCTGAAGGAATGGACCGTATTGATCGAATGTCGACCAAAGATTCAATCCGGGGTGACAATGAGCATGCCCCAGTCTCCGTCGGCCAGCCATTGTCGTCTTCCCGAGGCATGTCTCGTAATTCAGGCCGTCCTGTGTTGTTGCAAACTCCGAAAATGATCCCATACATGCCTTCCTTATCCATAAACGCAAAGAAAATGCCCCCAGCTGCTAACCCCTGGTCGTAGAGGTGTTGCAAAGAGTGGGAGTACAGAATGCAAGACCAATCGAGCCCGGGGAATATAAGTGTCCATCGACGCCAGTTCCATGAATGCTTCTAACAGATTTCTCGAAGGTCGTTGCGTTCATACGTCGTCGAGGCGGCCGGCGGGCTCCTCGTCGTCATCCCCAAAACTGCCAACTGAGGACATGGCGTCGTCGGATTCGCTTTCGCCATCCTTCTCGTCGGCGGCATCTTTGCTCGCGTACTTTTGCACATATTCTGCACTATTGTCAGTGATAACTGCTGTCAAGCTGCGTGCGCCTGCCTGCGCTGGTCTTACGCACCCTTTACTTTGGCGTCATAGCTCTTGGGTTCCCTGATCATCAAGGCGGCCGCCTCGCCATTCAGGGGGTCTGTCGGGTTCGGGTATCGCAAGAGCTGGGGAAGAAAGACCTCGAAAATGTTGATCATGTCGAACATGGGCGACCAGGTCTGGTTGATGACGTCCAAGCAGACGGAACCCGACCTATGCAGTATCCCCCATCAGTTCCTCGCTCCGGATGCAACCCAGGACGTTATCCGTCTCTTATGAAAGTTCCCATGACTCACAGCTCGTCGATGTTTGGGTGGAAGATACGGTTTACGAAGCCGATGCTAGGCGACTTGTATGGGTATTGATCGGGGAGCTCGACGTGGACCTTCCAGACGCCGCCTTCGAACGGGGCTACGGTTATTTAGCTTGACTATGCACTGTCCGGAAATCGCGCGTACTGACTCTCGGCGGGGCCCTTGAAGCGAACGTAGAACTCTTGCCTGGGTCGGTGTCGTTAGAATGGAAGTCGTTGGGCGTGGGGTTTGGTCCTTACACTGCAACGTTGTCAGCTGACTTCAAGGCTTGAGTATCTTGGTGAACGGAATGCAAGCTTACTGTTGTCATTCACCAAAGTGACTTCGTAGTCACTCATCAACCTGCATATGTCAGTCCAAGCAACAGAGGCCGTGGATTCGCGAGCCGCACATCCTAGGCCATGTTAGCAAAGTAGCATCATCGTGGCGTGATCTTGGGCGATTCACTTCATGACCTAACAAACAAAAAGAAACGTCAGTCTTCTGGTAGCCTCTGAGCACCAAGAAAGCGGCAGCAAGGCAGACTCACATCAGTCTCAATTCTCCTGCGTGGGCTACTCATGATGAGGGTTGCGCGGGGGGTTCGGACGATGGCAGAAAAGCACCGGCGGGCGGAAATGGACTAGACAGCTAGTTGGACGTTAAGTTTGAAACAGTATGTCTGTTGAATCGAGTTGCTGTTTAGACTCGGATGGGCTTGAATTTCTACAAAAAGCGCGATCGTGTTGGCTGAATCGAGAGAGAGGAGATGTTGGTTGTTGTAAAGAGGGGAGAAGTTGGCTCGGGTTCCTGACGCCAAGTCACGCGCGATGATGATGTGGGCGATCCCGGACCACAGCTGATAAGTGCCACGATAAGGAAAGTGGGCCCGAGGATTAAGCGGATAGATTCAGCGTGGGATCTTGACCCCAGCGCTAAGCCATCACCCATCTATAAATCCACCTTGCCTACCTGGGGAAGGTAGACAATGCGAACTTTCTTAGTCGCAAAGACCAACAATACCATGCGGTGCAAGGTAGTGCTGGCACATGAGAGGCTGGGCATTCCAGCCATTGCTCAGCAGAGTACACGTAGCCCGGGCTGTATTTGCTGGCAAGTAGACGGTGGACTCAAAGCATCGTCCTCATGGCCAGCAAGGCCCTGGATCAATTTGGTATGAGAGACTCAGATGATGCAACCGATGGCGCTCCGGCAAACGGCAACAGCAAGAGTCAGGGCCGTTCCGTGCAAGTTCGCCGCCGCGAGTACATGGTATGTTCGGGGCAGGCCTGCAGGGAACATGCTGTTGCAGAGCAACAATAGGATTGGAGACGAAAACTGAAGACAAGGCAATGTTGTCACTGAGTTGTAAGCAGACACCGTAATCGCATCCATTTTGAGATTCTCGTATCGCTTGGGGCATTCCTTCTTTGGAAATGTTTGCTTGCAATGAGCGGTGTCGGCTGGTGCAGTTCTGCGATGACCGCGTCCAGCGGCAGGCCAGATAATACGCAGTCAGAGACTATGCCTATCCCCTAGTATTCTCTATCATCAGGGCCAAAGGAAAACTTGGGGGCTAGGTGCCAAAACTTAGCTACTGCCGCCGTTGCGGAGGACCGAGACCAGATCCGCCGGGCCCGAGGCTGTTTTGCGTCGGTCTTGGCTGAGCGCGACGCCATGTACTGTTGAGCAGCACAGCCGTGAAGTACAATACCTACGCTGTAGCAGTAGACACCAGCACAGGAGGCCCTGAAGCCCTGTAAGAGCGCGGCACCCGCTCACTAATCCTGCCCACCTCATCCTACCTACCTAGGTAATAGTCAGGACGTGGAGGTATACCTCCCCAGGGATTCTAAATGTTAGCGCGTGACTTCTGCTTCGGGAGAAACGCCTACTGGTTAGAAGTACTGGAGTATGTTACGCTTATAGAAATTCAGGTGAGGATAATATCTCTTTTTTTCTAGACCTTTACTCTAGAAAAAAGACGTAGTAGATTCGGCCTTATAGGCCACCTTTTGAAGCCCTGTCAAGAGCTCTGAAAATTATGAATATTCTTACCAGAGAAGGCTAGTATGGGACGACGCTAACATTTAGAATCCCTGGGGAGGTATACATCCGAGCAAACGGCACTTTGTCAGTTGTACTGCGGTAGGGAGGGGAGGGGCCGTGCCTCGGCGCACCCAATGGCGGGGGTACATTGCGGTGGACCGGACCCCGTTTCTGGGGGTTCCACGGGCGTCCAGCGGCCATGTTGCCCCACTTTTCTTCCCTTTGAGGCGGCGTGAACGAAACACCACCGGTATTTTTTGGAGATACTCAATTCTACGCAGCAAAAACCATCATGACTTGGATAATAAAACTTGCGCTGCGCCTAAACACCGCCATCCAAAACTTTTCTTCCTCCATGCCATACCGCAAGAACAACCACTGATTTCGCAATTCATCATTTGCATTTTTTACCGCGCGAAAACCTTACACTTTTGCATCAGCTTGCCCTTCAATAAAAAGGTACTTGTCATTGCACATGTCTTCCCATATTATCCGAAGTACCTGTCTGAGGTCGTGTGCCTCTGCCCTGCGCAGCACGCGACCCTCGTCGGCAACCTTCCATATGCGGCCCGCCTATCCTGCCTTGCTGCAACAACCCCAGCCAAGGTACAGCTCGCACTCTCCTATGGGCACGCCTCCAGCAATCCCTAGAAAGAAAGTTACCGTCGCTACACTGCGCAACCTTCACAAGAAGCGTGAGCCCATCACAGTCATGACGGCGCATGACTTCCCCAGCGCCCACGTTGCAGACCATGCTGGCATGGAGATCATCCTCGTCGGTGACAGCCTTGCCATGGTTGCACTTGGCATGGAAGATACCAGCGAGGTTCTGGTTGAAGAGATGTTACTGCATTGTCGTTCTGTCGCAAGAGCCACCAAGTCCGCTTTTACCGTGAGTTGACCCTTGGATATCAAACACATGAACTTCAGACTAATTCCAGTCATAGGTTGGCGATTTGCCTATGGGCAGTTATGAAATTGCCCCTGAACAGGCTCTGGAGACTGCCATCCGCTTCATCAAGGAAGGCAGAGTTCAGGGTGTCAAACTCGAGGGTGGAAAGGAGATGGCCCCTACCATTCGGAAGATCACCACTGCTGGCATTCCCGTACTTGCTCATGTTGGTTTGACACCGCAGCGCCAAAACGCCCTCGGGGGGTTCAGAGTCCAGGGCAAGACTTCGGATGGCGCCATGAAGGTGCTCGAAGACGCACTTGCCGTGCAAGAAGCTGGCGCATTCGCGGTTGTCCTCGAGGCTGTTCCTGCAGAGGTTGCTGCGCTCGTCACAGAGAAGCTGGCCATCCCGACCATCGGCATCGGTGCCGGCAACGGCTGCTCTGGACAAGTCTTGGTGCAGGTCGACATGACAGGCAACTTCCCTCCCGGCCGTTTCTTGCCCAAGTTTGTTAAGAAGTATGGCGATGTTTGGGGCGAGAGTCTGAAGGCCATCGAAGCCTACCGCGACGACGTGAAGAGCAGACAATACCCTGGCCCTGAACATACTTATCCCATCTCCAAGGAAGAGCTTGAGGCATTTTCCAGTACGCTAGAGAAGTTGTAGAAGGCTGTAACAGTCAGCAGTTGAAGCATTTGCATTGCATCGCGTTCGGGCTGCATTACCCGTGTTAGGGCTCGGTGGCTGAGGCATTTGCCGTCTTTTTTTTTCTCCCTTGAATATTTGATACCATTTAATAGAATAGTTGTAGTCAGCCAAAGGCTGGGTTCATAGCGTATGAAATCACAAGCTGGCCTGTTGAGTCCTTGAAACACTGCTACACGATTAACATCAACAGTTCCGATGTGTGAAGTTGACGCGAGCAACGTACATTGTGTAGATTGCCGACGATCTCGTCGAGAGAGGGCGCAAAGGAGTCATTGACGTAACAAAAGATATTCTCAGCGTCTCGGAGCTTCAATCGCTTGCGAAGGTACCAGATGACGGTGGAGAAGGTTTGAGTGGAGGATATCTTGGCTACGGCCATAGCGAGAGCGGGAGCGTTTCCCACGGGCTTGAACTTAACAACAACCTTCTCTGAGGCGTACTCGCCAGCACTGGCGAGTGCTGAGGCAACATCCCGCGGCTGAGCCGTCAAAATTGCTGAAGCGGACATGGTGAGCGGTATCTCCGGAGAGGCTGAGCGATCAGGAATTGTGGCCGGGGTTGGCGACGCCGAGTCTGACCTGGGAATACCAGGAGACTCAGGGCTGTCCGCCATTTTCAGTGGACTAGGTGGCGTAATGCGGTGCTTGTAAAAACCTTGTGCCAGGGATTTGGGAGCCTCCTTGCGTGTCGGTCTTTGCTGTGGTCGAGCAAAGCGAGAGGAGTAAGATGTCAGGAAACGGCGATGAACACGAGGATGGACGTTGAAAGAGGCTGGCTTTTGTCAACCTAAGGTACGCATAAGGTCAAGGCATCCATGGATGCAAGTCACCCACCACTACATGCCTAGGTAGACACTTCAGGTGTGCCCGGGCAGTGTGTGTGGGGCGTCGCCAGTTGCCTTAGGTAAGTAACCCCTAACCCCCTACCTACTTACCCACGCAGTATGTCGCTGTAGTCGGTGAATGGTCAGTGAGGTGACCTAATCCGACATCCACCTAAGGTACCTATCCCGGGAGCCATTGCGGCGTGCTAACTACCTACCTAGGTAGGTACCTTAGGTCACCTGAGCGCGGACAGCGGGGTCCAGGAGAACGTCAATGTTCAAGATACCTCCGTTATTTAAGCCCCTTTGCACCACAACTTCGACCTGACACAAATCTAGGCTGCTTGTGAGGCGAAATATTGCCGTCATGACATGAAATGGACACCGCATCTCGTCGACTCACCGAGTGGCGCTGAAACATATTCTCCTTCATATCCTCACCGTATTTTCGGCTGCGACAGCTTACTCCGGTTTAGGTGGAAGATGCGCATGTCATGGAAGGCGTTCCTGCTTGCTGCCTTACCTTCATAGGCACAGAAGGGAAGGAAACGGCGAGGCAGTGGCCGGTGAGACCTGAGGTAAGGTAGGTTAGGGTACGGTAAGGTAAGGCCAGGTAGGCACAATGCATATTACTCCTGCAGCCACGAGGTAGCTGCAGTAGTGACAACTTGGACGATCGCCCTTGACTGTTGCTTATTGCCTCAACAAACATCTCTATCGCCCTCCTAGCAGCCTTTTCCTCCAAGTACTCTTCTCTGTTATCTCTACCCGTCGACTCCTACGCAGACCCTCCCTCGTGAGATACCGTCCTCTAATTCGGTTACGCTCCCTCTTTGAGCTGCTCAGACGAAAGATCTAGTCCTCGCACAGTAGCCTCCATGCTATGGCATCAACACCATCCTCGGAATCCCCGCACGCTGCAAGCATGCAGAAAACGTTGAAGACCGTTCACGATGTGACAAAAGCTGGCCCCGAACTGGCATTAGATGGTGAGCAACTCGACATCGCCACAGTCGTTGCCGTTGCCCGTCACGGACTCGTGCCGCGCATAAAGGGCTACCCGCCTACCAAAGCAGACGAGACGGCCAATGGAGCTTACCGCAATAATGGGAGTTCGGATATCGACCAGCGAATCGCCCAGAGTATCAAAGTTCTCGACCATCACATAGAAAACGGTTGGGTGGTGTATGGCGTGAACACGGGCTTTGGCGGCAGCGCAGACTCTCGAACGGAGCAGCTCAAGAAACTTCAGATATCTTTGCTCCAACACACCCAAAGTGCCGTCATTACTGCCGCCGATCGAGACGATTCTCGAGCCGACAAAGACGGGAAGTCTCACATCATCCCCCTAGCATGGGTGAAGGCAGCCATGGTTATCAGGGCCAACCAAAATCTACGCGGCCATAGCGCAGTCCGGATAGAGGTCATTGATACGTTGCTGGGACTTCTCCGTCACGACGTCACGCCTCTAGTCCCTCTGAGAGGAACGATCTCGGCATCGGGAGACCTAATGCCTCTGTCATATATCGCCGGGACTCTGATCGGAGACCCCAACATCACGGTAAGAATCGGATCCGGGGTAAGCCGGAAGATCTTGTCCGCCCGTGATGCATTGAAGGAATGCGGCATCAGGCCTGTCGAATTGCAACCAAAGGAGGGCCTTGGCTTGATCAACGGGACCGCTCCTTCAGCTGCTCTGGCCAGCTTGGTCATTTACGAGGCCAATCAGCTTGCGATTCTCGCCCAAGCTCTGACAGCTTTTACTTCAGAGTGTCTAAGAGGCAATGTCGAGTGGGCAAATGAATTCATCCACAGAATTCGACCCCACGCTGGTCAGCTCGAAACAGCTTGAAACATCAGACAGTTTTTGAGACCTTCTGATTTCGTCATCGGACTAGAGACGAAGAAGAGGACGGGTCGAGGTCTCTGGCAAGATCGGTACTCTACAAGGACAGCACCGCAGTGGATTGGTCCTTACCTGGAAGACCTCATGCTGGCCCAGCGCCAAATCGAGGTTGAGCTCAACTCGACGTCGGACAACCCAGTGATTAATGCTGGTCCTGGGAATGATCCTTCTGACGGAGAGGTCTATTCAGGAGGCAATTTTCAAGCAGTTGCCATCACATCCGCGATGGACAAGACAAGGAACGCACTCCAAATGATTGGTCGAATGCTCTTCTCTCAGTGCTCTGAGTTGATCAACCCGGCGACGAATAACGGCCTCGACCCAAATCTCGTCTTTGGTGATCCCGATCAATCTTACACGATGAAGGGTATCGATGTCAACATGAGTGCCTACATGTCGGAACTGGCGTCTCTCGCACACCCAGTATCTGCTCATGTTCATTCGGCCGAGATGCACAACCAAGGCATCAACTCTCTTGCCTTCCTGACAGGTCGGCGAACTATGGAGGCTGTGGATGTTCTTTCGCACATGTGCGCTGCTCATCTGTATGTATGCTGCCAAGCGATCGACCTCAGAGACTACCACGAGCGATTTCTCAGCTCTGTCGTCTTGTCCAAACGCCTAGACCGTGCTCGTCTCGGGCTGGACGAATCACAGCTCACGAGACTTACGAGTGGCCTCGACGAATTGGTAAGGGTTTGGTGGTACGAGGCGAACAAGGTCAGTCATTTTCAGCGTTGGTCGGTGGTGGCCTCCAAATTCGCAGCACATACTTTGGACTTCATGGGTAAAGAGAAGATGCACGACGTCTCTCTCAGCGGCGTCTTGGATTGCCAAAGGGAATTCCAAGAGAGCATGGAAATGTGGCTTCTAGACCCATTCAATAATCCCAAGGTTAACCACCCGGGGATGAACAACGACAAGACTATAGCACATTTGGACGGACTTGGAGCAGGTTCGGCTGTGCTGTACGACATTGTGCGCGGAAGACTGGGAGTTTCCTTCCATCAGGGCCTCAGAGCGAAGCAAGAAAGCACGATCGGTGTAAACGTGTCTTTGGTGTACGAAGAGATTCGTCAAGGTTTCGTAACACCAGCGCTGATGGGATGCCTCGGTCACAGCGCCGAAGAGGGCCCAGAGAACGGGATGGACACCCCCATCAGCAGCCATGACGGTGCTATTGGGACGCTCCGGATGGGCTGTGGGATCCTAGGAATGGTTACGGAAGTTTCACGGATGCTGTAGATGTCGAGATTCCTCTCCATCAATGTGAAATAGAATTGTCCGAGATCGAAACGTCAACATAGCAAGCAACCCTTGCTTTCCTGCAGTTGACTTCTTGGAAGTTTCCGAGTATTAGTGATGCGATGTTGCAAGTATGAGTAGGCTCTCTGGCAGGGGAAAGAAAGCGACTTCAAAATGGTCGAACAAGCCTGTACGTACTTGACGCGACTCGAAGGAACAACTGCAGTCAAGAAGAATAATTCATAGAGCATTGTGACTTACAAAGAAGCCATGATCCCAGGGACCAAAGGAGCAAAAGGCAAAAGGATTGTCCTCGGAGAGGCTCGAACTCTCGACCTTTGGATGTCTCTGCCTACGGCGGAGTCATATTGATAGTTATATGAGACCAACGCTCTACCGACTGAGCCACGAAGACTTGGATGAAACAATCCTGTCAATTTGATCACTATGGAGATTTTGCTACGCTTGGACCCACGTAAGAAGCGCCCTTGCATGCGGGCATCCGTGCGCCTGTCCTAAAATGGACAGGTGTGGAGGGGCGGCACGGTTCGGTGCGGGGCTTTCTTTCGAGGAACCTAGGTAGTGTTTGAGACGGGGTGTGGTGCTGCTGGCTTTGATGTTTACATCGGCCTCATATAAGCGGCCTGTAGTATCAGGCCTGTAGTATCATTTGTTTTGTATGCTACCTCTCCCCGCTTCGTATCCCCAGCCATTCGATCCAAGCAGCAGCAGAGCGAACACTGTTCACGTTGTACTTTCCTTCCAACTACGCAGAAGCTGTCTGCCATTCTCGAGCGTCTTGTTGTGTGCTGCGCATCATTCATCTCACAACTCTTCCAGATGGACATAAGGGGAAATGCTTTCAATTGCTCCAAAACGCCTCTGCCATGACTGTGCGGCTCACAGCACAACCACAGCAGTCCTTGGCTTCCCAAACCAATAAGTGTTTCGTGTTCAACGTACAGTATACACAATCATAGACTGTTCAATGATATCTACACCATGCTCATTATGACTCGCCTTCGCCCTCTTCATCCGTACTTAATCCCGCCTCTGGATGACGATACAATGCCTCCCAACCTGCCTGCCGAAGGAGAAAACTTAGCCGTGGTGGTATAAAATGCTCCATGCCGAACGCCATTGTGCATGCGATGCTTTCAGTGCGGCCCGACCAATTAGAGAAAGACGAAGAGAAAAACATGACCGGAAAGCGCGGGCGACTTCTTCTGGTCAGTCTACTGGTATCATTGGTTCCATGTGTGTGGAACAAATCCGTAGCTTTTGTATGTATGTGTGTGTGTGTGTGTGTGTGTGTGTGTGTGTGTGTGTGTGTGTGTGTGTGTGCGAACGTGCGTGATGCTCCTGGGATCACAGCGTCGGGAAATCGGGGAATCAAAAACCATATTTGAGTGAGGTAGAATCGGTTCTCATGGGTGCCATGATGCGGAACGAGTTCGTCGAGTCGAAACTTTCTATGAGTCCTCGATGGACACTTCCTCGGCGCGGTACTTGTAGTCGCCATAGCCCTTGGGCATGCGGCCCAGCTGGCCAAGTAGTTCGTCCAATTCGAGCCAGTTGTCGGTGTTTTCTGCAAACTTTCGATGTTTACGTGTGAGAATATGCTGCCATATGATTAGCAAACTTCGTAGACTGTGGAGCGCTACAATCAACCCACCTCGTCAAAGTCCTTAAATTTGTCCTGGCAGTTTTCACAGTAACCTGGCTTCAGATCACGCTTGCTCTTGGCAGGCGGCGCCTGAGTTTTAGAGCTGGTTCGAACAAGCTTGGCAGTTTGCTTCTCAGCATCCTCTTCAATGAGCTCCATCCGTCTGCTGGTGGTCCTGGAAACGCTGGTAGATCTGGTAGACGTCGCATCCAAGCTCATCTCAGTCAGTCGACGAGAGCTGGGATCGTGAGGCGCTGGGGCACCTCTCTGCAGCACCTTGCGCTGCAGACCATGGACTTCCTTGCTGGTGCCGGCCTTTGCTCCATTGACACCCGAAGTAGAAGAGATCATCTGAGAGCGAATGGCCGAAGTAACATTCGACGGCTGAAGACCCGAGGCCACAGGCTCGCCGGCGAAGAAACGTGCCGTACCGGCACGGCTGGTGAAGGCATTCTGGGGTCGGAAGTCAATAGGATTAGAGGCAACAACCTTGGGTGGGTTGAACATCTCTACGGGCTTCACTGGAGCCTTGTCCTTGTTCTGGCCGTCTTGCATCTCGGCGAGGGTACGCTTGCCAATGACAGTTTTGGGCGCAGGCACCTCAGGGGGCTGAAGAGACGTCCTCTCCTCGTCCACAGGCTTCGTAACACGCTCTTTGTCGCCCTTGGGCTCCTTCAGCTCCTTTTGCTGTGGTTGTGGTTTACGGCTCGGTCGCTCAGCCTGTTCCGGCTCCTCGACGAAAGGGCAGCGGCCATCCGTGACAGTCCTAAATTGGGGCCATTCACCGTCGTACTTGTTGTTGACCTTAGGGTACTCCCGCACCATAATGGGCTTCTGCTTCTCGTCAATGTCGTAGACGTATATATACGGTCCCTTGAAATTGATCATCTCCCGGCTCGTGACGGCGTCAGAAGGACCATTGAGTCTCTCCTTTTGCAGCAACTGCATCAGGCCTGGCTCGTCTGCAGTTCTCTTGGTGCTCAAGCTCCTGGAATCGCCCTTGTGGCCAATTTGGGCGACAACGTGCGGATCGGGCTCCAACAGAAACTGCAACATCCTCTGGAATTTCTCGACCGACCAAATCTTCTTTCCCATGTCACGAGCCTTGTGCAGGACATCATTGCTGCGCGTAGGACGCGCACGCCTGACTCCGTCATCCTGCGGCTGGGTGTGAGTCCGTCTCGACGGGTGATCAAACAATAAACGTCTTCGTGCATCGGGGGCCCGGTCGAGAAGAGACGGGTTGATGGTCTGTGGCTGCTCTTCGGGCTCGGGGTCTTGGTGTGCAGGGGCGTGCACTTCCTCCTGTGCAGGAACTGGACGGGCGGTCACGACATGAGTGATGCTGCTCGAGAAGAAGCGTTCGTCTCTCTACACGTGACATATTAGTGACCAAACAGTATTTTCAATACATGTGCTGCGACATACAGCTCCAAGAGACATGGCATGGCGGGAAAGCTTGGCCCTCTGGTCCTCGGCAACACTGTCGAAGTAGAAGACCATCTTGGGGAAGCGGCCGCGATATTCGGCCTGCCATTGTCGGATCTTGTCGACGTTCGCATCATCGTGATGGTGGGTGGAGCGTTCTTTCGTTACGGGGCGGGCGACACGCTGGGGCAGTTGTGAAGGCTTGGCGATCTTGGACGGGGAGCGTTGGTGGCGGGATGCAGTGTTCTCGACGACCTGCTTCTTCAAAGGCGGCGGCTGGCCGTACAGCTCTTCTCTCTGGATGTTGGCATGAGAACGCCTCTGCTTGGCGAGAGCCAGAGCAGAAGCAGATCTCAAGGGCGAATTGGCCACATTGGGGTTGCTAGACAAAGGCGTTCGTCTAGTGGACATGGCCGTGAGAGGGATTGGAGTGGGCGATAGGGATATGGCTGCCATAAAAATGCCCAATCAATATGCTCGACGTGGGAAAGGAAAAGGTTGTTGTTTTGTTTGTGTGGTGGTGTGGGTTTGTATGTCGGTCGAGAGCGAGGCGGGGGGTTGCTCTGTGGACGGGACGGGACGGGATGGGCACGCGACGTGGAGGCTGACACGTCGCTCACGCGTTCCGACAAAGAGCGTGTCGTGGGTTCACGAAGACATCGAATGCGCTAGGCGGCCGTGAGGAGGGAGGGAGATGCGAGAAGGAGAGGAAGTCGTCGTGGAGGTTCGTCGTGAAGCGAAAAAGAAGCAGCCAGAACACGAGTGTGCGAGTGGGCAGGTTCAAGGCAGAGCTTTATTAATATGGAGGTAGGTAGGTAGGTAGGAGGAGGAGTGGTTGGTGTTGTGTGTGTGTGCGGTGCGTGTGTGGGAGGAGTCCCCGGCCATCATCCCAGCCCATAAGCAAGACCACCCCCGTCTTGGTTCACTCACTGCCTGTGCCGGGCCTGTCCGGGACCCGGTCACCTAAGTCGCGCTTGATGGGTTTTCGGGGGGGGAACAACAGCACTAATCCCCGTTCGGCAGCGTGGAAAACACGCACGGACCAGTTCCTTCTCTGGCAACCGGTCAAATTTGCTTGGCACAGTACCCGCACACCCGCAGCGGCGCGTCTTCTCTCAGTGACTGGACTCTTCTCACTTAGGTACTTTAGGTAGGTTCACAGCTGCTGTGCTACAGTGGAGGCTCGCTGTAATCTGGCATTCTAGCACCCGACCACAATAATAACAACTGGTAGCGACCTGATCCGGCGGCGGCCTGGAAATTGGACGGATGGAGCTGCAGTGGGAAAACAATAAAAAAATCCTGCCGCAACTGGGGGGCCGCCCAATTGGCAAGACATGGATGCATCCAGTTTCTTTCGACATGGCACTTTCACTTGCATGCTGTATTGCTGCATGCTGCTGCATTTACTTGCCTTAGTTACATATGTACGACATTAATGTCCACGGCAATAAACGCCATGCAACTCCATTGTCTTCTTCCACTCCTTAGATACATAAAAAACATCCACTCCAAACAAACAAATCTCTGCATCATCCCATCGTCCGCTCCTCGTCCTGGTGGCCCGATTCCCAAACGGGCATCTCTCACCCGTCCCGTCTCGGTCTCAGTCCTTGCGGAAAGGCCGCATGCGCTGAACTAATCACTCTTTGACGAGTCAGCCAGCAGCCTTTGGCCCTTAGCCCATCCTCGCTCCGTCCGGTACAGTGCAGACGATTGCAGTACCTCCACTGCCTTCCGTGATGACCTCATCCGGATCGTAGAACCCATCCCTTCTCGTTCATAAACTTCACCTGCCGCCCTACATCCCCTGCACATCGCTCCATTTCTGGTCATGAACCCCTCACGTCCAGTGAGCAGCGCTCTTCGGGCCGCCCAGAGACTGCGATGCTGCAATTCCGTGCCCTTGTGGCGCCCGTCACTCCCATCGAGTCGTCAGATCCGCCGCTACGCTGCCGTCTCTGCTGCCGATCTCCAGTTTGGCCAGCCAGTGCATGAGACGCATCCTCACATTCTCAAAGCCGGCGAGAGTCAGTACAATCTTCATCCAATCACTGCCCATAGCATTCAATACTTTGCCCTCAAACTCTCAGTAAAGATCACGAATAAAATGATCTTGGGCTGACTTATATGTTTAGTTACTCCAGGCATCACAGCCCAGGAATATTGGGAGAGACGTGCTCGCCTGGCTGAGAAGCTGCCCGACGGTGGCGTTGCCGTCCTGTCTGCCGCCGACCTCAAGTACCGCTCCGGTGCCGTCTTCTTCCCCTATCGCCAAGAGTCCAACTTTCTGTACCTGACCGGCTGGAATGAGGGCGATTCCGTGGCTGTCATCCAGAAGACGGGCAAGGAATTCGGCGACTACCTGTTCCACCTGTTCACTCAGCCCAAGAACCCGGCGGCCGAGCAGTGGTCAGGTGCCAGGAATGGCATCCAGGCCGCTACGGATATCTTCAACGCCGACAAGGCGGGCGATATTAACAAGATCCACCAGTACCTCCCCGATATCGTGAAGTCGGCGAGCCGCGTCTACACAGACCTCGAGAAACCGAGGCAGGGCGAGCAAGAGAACAAACTATGGCAGCTCATGAAGAGCGACAAGTCATGGTTTCCCTCGGTTAAGATTCCTCTGTACCCTCTCATGAACTCTTTACGGTGTATCAAGTCCCCGGCAGAGGTCGCAAACATGCGCCGCGCTGGACAGATCTCGGGCCGGGTCATCACCGACGCCATGCGCAAGCAGTGGACCCGCGAGAAGGACCTCCACGCCTTTCTCGATTACAGGTTCACCGCAGACGGCTGTGACGGGCCGGCATACGTCCCCGTCGTAGCGGGCGGGCAAAACGGTCTTTGCATTCATTACGTCGTGAATAATAACGTGATGAAAGACGGCGAGATGGTTCTCGTCGACGCAGGCGGAGAGTACGGCACATACATCACTGATATCTCACGCACCTGGCCTATAAACGGCAAGTTCAGCGCGGCACAGAAGGACCTCTATGAAGCCGTTCTCACCGTTCAACGTTCAAGCGTGTCCCTTTGCCGTGAGAACGCCAATCTCTCCCTCGACGACATTCACGACCAAACGGCAAACGGTCTGCTCGAGCAGCTCAAGAGCCTAGGCTTCGACATCACCTCCCGCGATCTTGATGTCTTATTTCCGCACCATGTTGGTCACTACGTCGGCCTGGATGTCCACGATGTTCCTGGCTATGGCAGGAGAACGCCGCTGAAAGCCGGACACTGCGTGACCATCGAGCCTGGTATCTATGTTCCGGATACAGACCGTTGGCCGGAGCACTTCCGCGGTATGGCAGTTCGGATTGAGGACAGCGTCTGTGTGGATACCGAGTCACCGTACATTTTCTCGACAGAAGCTGTAAAGGAGGTTGTCGATATTGAGGCTCTCAGGGACTGAACCCTGTGAAACCGAAAAGGATCAAAATTTTGTAATCAAAGGTGTACACTATTAAGCCAGGGTGGCACAGAAGTCGTGTCTCTACACACAAAATACGGCGTAGCGTCCGCTATGCAAGCAACGTACACTTGTTCCTGAGTGTCTCTGCAAACCTCCAGGAGCTGCCTTCAACGTGGCGTATCTGCCCGTCGAGCTGAGCTAACAACGAATGTTGTGAGAGTTGTTTCTCCCGGTATGCCAAAACAGGACCCTTGTCTTCGGGGTCCCTTGACGTGCCAGGGGAGGTACCCCATGGAAGGTTCCGCATGGAACAGGCGGGCTTCTCATCTGCCACAAGCGGACGTTTCCCGTTTCTTGTAGACCAGCTGCACGAACAGGATGCCATTGGGGTCATGCCAGTCAGCCGATTTGGTTGCCAAGATGAGATCATCATTCCGCTGACTTGAGGTAGCACGCCAATTGAAACAAAAGGGTGTTCGCCACAATTTTAGAGGTGTCTGGGACCTCACACGCAGCTCGACATCTGTGCTCATCGAAAATACTCCAATGAATCCAAATGTCCTTTCTAGGTTGCTAAAAGGATATGCGCTAGACATAGAGCAGTGTATGACCTGTCACATCAGAACCATGCCGAAAATGCCATCCGGAACAGAAGAATCGCCTTCAGTACATCCCCGGAGGAATTAACCAATAGTGCCAGAAACCCGAATAAAGGTCTGATAACCTTGAATTATTTTGTATATGCCTGCCTATTCATGCTTCGTAGATTGGTCGCAATCGTATATTTTTGGGCAAATGATAGCCCTTGACAACAAAATATGTACAGTTTCGCAATCATGATGCGTAATGTGATAAGGGGAGAGATGTTAACAGAAGCCTCTCGGGTCGAACAAGGTTCTGCTGTAATTCGGCATGGGAAAGGGTTGCCGCGCCGTTGCACTCAACAGTTGCTCAAAGGCTTGTAGGCGCCTGGCGAGTTCCTGATGCTCGCGCATGATGGCTTTGTTTCTTCGTTCAAGGTAATGGATATACTCGGTTGCTTTCGTGAGGACAGTACCCTAAACCTGTATCAGTATATGTTGTGTGAAGCTAAATGGCCGCATCACCGCTTACCTTGCTGACTTTGGGCCCGCGTTGCGACTGACTGTCCACCTCGGCGTCTTCGCCTCCCTCCTCGGGTATCGACTTGAGTGATGGTACAGCGTCGCGAAGCTCGGAGATCTTGTCCTTGAGATTGGTGCGGTACTTTCTCTCAATGTCGTTGTGTGCCGTTCGGTCGCCGCCAGCCTTCGCCTTGTCTTTAGACTTTTCAGAGGCCCCAGTTGCAGCCGTCGTAGTTCGAGACACTTGCGGCCGTTGGTTCTTCGAGTCTTTTTCTACACTGTCTCTCTCCTTTTCCTTCCCCTTACTGTGGAGACCCGACTGTTCGGGGCCCCTCCCGAGTTCATCCATGCTTGCCGTCGCCATGCCGGCATCGAAATTCTCGAGACTTGCAAACTCGGGGCCCAGGTCTGCGCCAACCCCGAAACCCATTCCGGCGCCTAGACTAGTTGATGAACGACCGGTATTGAGGGCAATGGCCAGCAGACGTCGCTGCTCCGGATCGAGCATGGGCGTGCCCATGCCTCCCATGCCGCCCATGCCAAATAGAGGGTTCATCCGCAGGCCGGGCGCTGGCTTCTCCCAACTCAGGGGCGTCGAATAAAGGCCCTCTCGCGGCGGAACCTCGGAAGGGGGTTGCGATTCGATCTTACCGAGCTGATCGCCTAGGTTCATGGACTCCAGAAGCTCTTCATCGTCCGAGAGAGCGTTGTCAAGGGCGGTGTCGTCCATAAAGTCCTCCGGCTTGAATACAGGGTTTGTATACAGTCCAGCGCCCAAGCCCGGGGTTGTTGACATGGGATTCAGACGATTCGCAGCCGGTGGTCTAGAGAGAGTTAGCGAAGTCGCTCAGATGCGTCGACTTTTGAGAGCGGCTGAGAGCATACCTAGGATAATGTTGGGTCGGATGTCTTCGCTTAGAAAAGTCGATCTCGAAGCTACCGCCGAGCTTTTGCTCATCGTCATCGTCGAATTGAATCCAGTAATCGACCGATTCTAGTGCCGCAGCCTCGGAATCCACCTTGGTCCGCTTTCGATCGTGACCGTCCCTCCGCCTCTGGCCAGCATTCTGGGCTGTGCGTGTCGGCAAAGCATTTCTGGGTTGGCCATGTCCAAAGGACATTTGAGCAGGCATAGCACCCATGCCGAAATTCGTGCTGACAGGCGAGGCCTGAGCAAAAGAGGGCATTGAGGAGTGGCCATTGGAAGTCGATTCAGAGTTGCTCTGATCGGCCCCTAGGGTCTCCCAGAGAGAAGGATCGGGAGCATTTCTCGCAGCCCCTGCGGCCGAAGATTCGGCGGGTTGCTCGACAGAATTATTTGTTTGGTTGTTTGGGACGGCGAAGTAGTCGAGGTTCTTTAAGAAGTTGGGGTCCATTACCACAAAGCCAGCATTTCGGCCCCCGAAATGTCGGCGGTCGTCGATCTAGAAATCGATATTGTCTTTTTGTGGAAGGGAGAGTGGGTGCTCGGCGCGATCGTATGCCGGTGAGTGCTGAGCAGCGAGGACTCAGAGATCTCGTACGTTTCTTGGTTGGAGGGGGGCAGAGTTTGGCGATTCAAGATGGACAGTCGTACCACCTCGTATAGCCAATCAGGTCGAAGTCGGAATGCAATGGCAGCGTCGTCAATGGCGGCAAGGGAAACTCGCAAAAGTCGTAGGAGTCGGCAGGGATGGATCGAGATGCAGGATGCAGCGCAAGACAAAGAAGTCGGTCGTGTTCAAGGGCCGTCAAAGGTTCTGGGTTCGTAGAGGTGCGGCACCTCAAGTAGAGAGGTCGGCAGGGCGATGAGGCGGGGATTCGCTTATTAAGGTCAGCCAAGGTCCAAATACTCGAAGGACTTGGTCGAGACTTTCGACTAAGACAGGCGGGTTGTGACGGAGACGAGACGAGGGCAGGGCAGATGCGCAGACGTATGGTAAGGTAGGTAGAAGCAACAGCAGGAACAAGAGCAGGAGGCAAATCAGAGGAGAGCAGAGGGCCGACGGGTACGGAAAGCGACAACGAGATGCGTCCAAACACGGGGAAAGGACAAGAAAAGAGTTGAGGGTTGGGGAGATTTTTGTGGAGGCAGAGACGAAAATGACTGGTCACACCTTACGTGTATGCGGCAGGGAGCAACGGGAGGCAGGCGGCAGGCAGAAAGGTCGTTCGGTCGGCAGGTAGGTGTGTAGCTGTATCCGTCGAGACGGGACGGGAGGAAGAGGAAAGAACGGAGAAGAGTGTTGACGAGCAGGTAGCCGGTGTTGAGTTGGCTGGCGCTGGGGGAGGGGCGCGGGAGAGAGGCACGAGGCGCGAGGCAGAGTAGCAAATAGAGCAGCAGAGAAATGGATTGCGCCGGAGAGACGAAGACAAAGTCGACTGATGTTTAGGGACACAGAATGGACCCGCGCCGGATCCCGTACGGTGAGCTACCCGGAACAAGACCGTGGACGGCCGAAGCAGACTCTACGCAAACAGAGAGTGAGTGAGTGTGTGTGTGTGGGCAAAGAAAAAAAAAAAAGTGCAAAAGGTTGCCAATTGGATGAATGAGTGACGGAGGAACGGGCGGAATGGCCTGACCTCGAATTCGCCAGCTTTGGCGGCGACCGGGGCACAGTGAAAGCGCGTATCAAAAAGTCAACCACTTCGTAGGGAAATCGTATGATATTTCAGGCGCTGGAGGGGAGGTCGTGCGATGGCCGCCAAGTCTAAAAGGTACTGTAAAATCTCTCTGCTTCCGGATTCCACTCATTGGCACAGCTGCCCGCCTCTTATTCGTCGAATAAGAGGACCCATCCTTGATGGACCCCTGGCGTCTCTGGTTTTTGGCCCAGTATTCTTGCAAAGCTGCCAATGGGCTGAGCGCCTGACATGAGTGGAATCCCGCCATAGGGGAAGAAAAAGGTTCTCTGTGCCGTGCATCACTTCCGGGTGTCGTAGCTTGATGATTGGCCACGTGTCGATCCGGCCCCACTTGACACGCCCGGATTGTCAGCCTTGCATGCCTGGCCCAAGCTTCCCCAGAATAGACTTCCCGCTGCGTTAGGGTCTGCCTGCTTCTGGCTCTGGTCGTGCGGCATTCTCTCCCCTCCCTCCCTCCCTTCCATTGCTTCCCTCCCATGTTCTTTTCCATGTCGCTCTTCCCCCTTTGAGGCGTAGTGCGAGCCCAGCTGATCCGGCCCACGGCCACTCCCATACGTCGCCGCCCCTCGCCTCGCCTCGCCTTGCAAACCTGAAGAGACGTTCCGTCACTTTTGCTGTGCACCCACGCGTTCCAGCCGCTGCCATCCTTCGTTTCGTCAGCAACTAACTATGCCGTGCGCCATGCGGTATGCGATATGGGTGTCATGGTTCGTCCGTCTTTCCAGCTCCGACACGTGGACATGGATTGCAGGTCCCATCACACACCCACCTGCCGTCGACAGCTGAGGTCAAAGTTTGGTTCGCCTACCGAAAGAGGCTCGGGGTTACGCCTCTGGAAGGGTGGCCGCCTCCGTCCACCATCGGTGCGGCGGGACGACCTAAGAACGGGGCCTCCAACGTCAAAGAAGCGAAGTCCGGCTTCCGGCACGGTGCCCTTTTAAAACTCCGTTCATTGCCCTCTGCGTCTTTCGCCGTCCCCCACCGCGCCGAAGCGCCATACGCTATCGGTTTCGGACGAAACACTCCAGAATGTTCACACCTCAGCCAGGACGTTGGTGGCGGGACAGCACGTGGGATGGTCGAGACACACCGAGACACCGTTGGCGCCGTTGCGAGAAAACGCCTCTATCCACATGCCTTTGACTTGGGCGTCGCTAAATGGCCCCTTGCCTTGGTGGTAGCCCCAACCCTATCGTGAGTGTGTTCTGGTGGGCATTCATCCTTATCGTGCCTAATTGGACGACTTCTTCTTTGATTGTACCTTACCTTTCCAGGGCGCAACCATAGCCACCCCAAAGGATACTCGTCTTCAATGATTTCTGAGAGCGTGTGACGACGCTAGTGGCGTTTTGGTCACAGACTAGCCGAGTAATGGAGAACAGACGAAAGGAAACATGATCAGGATTGCGACATTTCGAGTCGAGATTTGAAGTGATGAAAGAAATCTCTTCGTCATGAGAACATGTGTGTTGTGCGAGTATCTTGCTACCTATGTCCTTTGTTGACGCTGAGCACTTATATCCAGAAAATCTCCCCTTCCCTTATTCGAGAGCATCGCGATACATCGCCGCAAGCCAACGCCAGTACCGTTTACAACATCGCCATCATGAAGCTTTCCATGACTGCTATGGCCATTCTTTGGTCTTGGGCTTTCGGTCTGGGCCCGATGAACTTCATTCAAACCTCAAGCCCTGTAGCTGGTCCTGTCTACCCCGACTGCCTCCGATTTTATCAAGCGAAACCGGGCGATAGTTGCCAAAGCATCGCTGATGCGCATTCCATCACCCTTCTGGATTTCATTTGGATGAACGCAGGCCATGGCAGTCAACACACGTGCGCCAATGTTAACGTCAGGGCTGGCGAGTGGTACTGCGTCAAGGGCGGAGAGCTCAGCTCCACGGCATCGCTGCCTTCCGCATCTCAGTACGCCAACAACGTTGTCGACAAGAGAAGGATGATTCCCCTCCTATCCTACCAAACGGTCGCGGCGGTTTGTCTCTAGTGCTCATAACCTTGCGCGTGCCGCGCCCACGGGCAAGCTGCCAGTGAGGACTGCAGGGTTTCCCACGAAGATTGAAGCTGTCACGGCGGCTACGTCACCCCCAGAACCCGCGTGTGAGCTAGACGAATGTGCTGTCGGACTTCAAATGGCTGTCGGCGACGCAGCATCTGATCAGAGACAGTTCTGTACCAGCGTCATTGAGCCGGGATGTAGACACCACGAGCTTCAGAACATGGACCTTCCAAAGTCACTCAATGGCGTGTGTACGCAACGCAATTTATGCCAGCACATCTCATTTGTATGCTCCTGCTGGAGCAAGGAGAAGACGACGTTAAGTCTCCGTCGCGAGCAGCTTTGGTGGCGGAAGAACATGAACGTGAGGGTGCCTGTCCTTCGCATGTAATGACTTAGTCGGCTATACCGGCAGATACTTCAGCTAAGCGGACGGAGTGCGTGCTGCCTACATTAACCCTATTGTTACGTTATGCTATCCCCCTTATTTCTGATGTTCAATACCCTAGCTACATGCTGATTTTCGGCCAGACGATAATGTTATGGTTCAACCTAGGTATGCCTCACGACCCAGACCACTCGTTCAGCTTCATCCAATCCACAGCATCACTGCTGGACTCAGCAACGGGGGTTAGGGTCGGCCGCCCGATTGGCGCAATCAGTGCATAAACCAGGCCAAGCGATGACATCGTGCTTTGGCTTCGGCCCCTTGCAGCCCTTGCCAACATTTTGGCACCACTTGATGTTGTGGAAGCCATGGTGGCCACAGTCATATGCCTTGTCGATCTGCACACACATTATGGCGGCGGTATTCTTGGAAGCGTATTTGGTTTGTCTCTTTTGCCTGTGACATCCACACTGCTATCATCATTTCACGTCAGCATACGTGTCTGATCACTGGTTTTTCCCGCCAAGTAATGTCGATCATGGGGATCTCGCCGTACAGATTGTAAAGGAGTTATGTCAAGTCAGCTCAGTGGCACCAAGCTCTTTGAAGGAACTGCGACTGTGTAGCCGAGTTGATGATAGACCTTTGAAGCGTCTGTCTCCTTGCTTCGGACTCAAAGTCACAGGCTGTCTAATAACAGCAGGAAGCGTAGACGACAAACACTATGGGTCAAACTTCAAGACATCGAACCCGCGACAGAGAACTTCGTTAGAGTCTCTGACGTGGTAGGAGGGACAGGAAAGCTGCGACGCCGATAGCTGAACGAAGATGCGAGTGGTTTATGGCGTGTGTTCAAGATCAAGACACTGTGAGAGGCTTGGAAGAAAGAAGAATCAAGCAGAAGAAGCACGAGGCTCCCTCGCGTGGCTTTTGTACCATGTTGAAGGAACGTGAGATTTCGCGACCTGCAACTAGTACGCTGGAATCTGGGCCCTGTCGGGCGACAAGCCGCGTTCCGCGGTACTGGAAACAACGAATATCCCGGTACCAAGATGCGAGACTACCAAGGAAAGGCAGAGCACCGGTGGAATGTCACATATCACAAAAGCTGCAGTATGGACTTGACAGCTTCAATGGGGATTTTTAGGAGGGGAAGGAGTGGACGCCGTGCTTTTTCAGGTCCTGTGATTTCCGCTGCTCAGGGAGCCACAACCGACGTCACTCGGCGAAAGCTGGGTCTTTCGGCCCCATGCAGGCTGGCAACGGCGCTCGGCGTTGGTTTCCCGGTTCATATTGGTTTGGAAAGGCGGTGGGTAAGGGTACCGACATCGTACAGCGTGGTCTCTTTCCTCGCGGACATCGAGATCCCCGAATACACGAAGCCAGTAGGGTGGAGGAGGAAGAAGACTTCACTGACACCACTGGAAGAAAATCCAGGTCCGGCGTAAGACTGATGTCGAGAGGACTACTATGAAGCGGTGGGGAGGCTGGTGACAATCAACGATCCTGGACCCCTGTTAACTCCTCCGGGGTAAATCCTCGTCTGCCCTATCACAAAACCTCGCTATGGTATCTGATCTTCCCAGGACACTCAGCCTGTAAGTCACGACATTTATTTCTCATGCTGCCCTCGACGTGCGGCGCTGTAAAGTCTCAGGAGAATGCAACCCAAGGCGCGTGTTGCGCAAAGGTGGATGGTTCTCCGTCAGAGATCCGTCAGGCGAGAAGAGAGAAGAGGGGTAGACGGACTCGCTGGTAAACGGCAGCCCGCGAGGACTGTCTGAGGACCCCACTGCGCGAGCTGCTGCGCGAATGGGCTGATGTGGCTGGTCGCCAGCGTCTGTCACACACCTTGCAGACATGCATACTGCGTACGGCACGCGACATGTCCCATGCAGCGAATAGTCTCTCTTGGGGCTCCATCCGAGTGGAGGGGACAGCGAACTTCATGCAGGGTCGTCAAAACAGTTGGCAGCGATGTACGGGTATATTCTGTGAACTCGTTGGCGGAAGGCCTCGAGGCTTGCTTCTGTCGTTTCGCCCCCAGTAGGTTGGGTTACATGGTGGTCGTCTTCTTAGCCAAGAGCACATCAGGAAACTCTGTCTTGTTGATATTGCTTTTGATAGAAAGTTGACTGATGATTCTGACGGAATCAACAGCTGAAAATTGCTTTCTCGACCTTCCAAGTATTGGTAGATAATGCTACCTACGCCGTCATGCTGGCAGATCAAGAAGCGACTTGTCTAGAAGGTGTGTCATCCTTGGACCCAAACCAGTATGTCGTTTGGCCTTTGTAAACTTCTGTCCGGGTCATGAGAAACAGCCATTAGTCCAGCAAGCGGAAAATCCTTAGACAAGTTCTGTGGAGTTGAATACTTGCAGCGATGCCAAATCACCTCCCGGGTTATGCTGGTTGATCCGAAGGGGATGTGTACTTCTGGCGGCATCAGGTTTCTTGTTCTTACTGCCTAGACAGAGAGAGGTGGGCACCTAACAATGAAGGATTCATCAAGCTGGCAACTCGGCTGCATTAACAATTCGAACTGGCAATGCGGCAATGCGGCGAGCTGGTCGTGGGCTTGAGAGGTTCAAACAAAAGTATCTGGTGCTAGATGAAGATTCAGACCTGATAACTATGTCTCGGCCATTTTCAACCTTCAAACATCCTGCCTACCAACCAAGTAAGGGATGCGGTGACTGCAATGTTCTTAGGCGGAAGGAAAGGCGTACGATGAACTTGCCCATCGTAACTGCCTTACTTAACCTTGCCCCAGAGCCTCCTTCCACAAATTGCACTTGCCAGATCCAAAACTACGGGCCCCCTCCTGCTTAATTTGATTTTTTCACCTCGAAAGTCATTCGAAGTCGTCCAGCTGTATTTCGTTGCACGAAAATAGGAAAGCCTCTGCCCAGTTCTTTTCTACCGGACTTGCCTCACGAAGCTCAAGTAAAGTCGCGCCTTTCGACCCACTAAGCTACTTCACCTTCAACCAGCGAAACCTCCCCTTTCTCAGCCGGTTACCTCTGGTTCTGTTCCTCCAAGACCTAAGACCTCGCAAGACAATTTCCTCAACTTGGACGCATCTTCCCTACGATCTCTCTCGTCAATCTTGCACTTTACTGACGTTTTACCTTGAAGCAAAAGCGCCAAGCGCGATACCAATGCAAGGATGCGGTGCAATACTTCGCAGCTCCTCTACGGAGCCGCTCTGATGCTAAGCAGCGCCACAACTATCCATGCCCTCTCTTGGTATGGTGGTGAGAGAAATTCAGACCATGGGCGGAAACTGGACAGAGTTTCTACGGGTCATACGATCGGAATTCAGACGGCGTCTCGCCTCCCGAACATTTATGCCGTCGCCATGCAGGAACTCCAAGAGCTAGAATCCGAGCCTCTCTGCCATCGAATCGCTGCCCGTCTCCTGGTCAACAACTGCCAGCTTCTCGACGGGAAAGATGACGCGACTGTACTGATCGACAGCGGCAGACGAATCAGAGACTTTGTCGACTCCTACGCCGCCAGCCTTGCTATATGCGATCTCGAAAGAGGGAGTTTCGATATACCATCGGGCTGTGCCCCATTTCGAGAGAATTCCTTGGCTCAGATTCCCGATTCCAAGTTCCCTCGTCTTCACGTCTCTCCCCAACAAATTGACTCATGTCTCTCAGGTCTAGCAAGGTCAGATTCGGCATGGAACACTTGGGTCAGCTACCGACACAAAGCACTGAGGTTCTGCGAAGCTGCCCGTGCTGACAACGACAAAGGTGAGTGTCTCATGGGTTCCCCTCTGCCTTGAGGAGTGGCTCTGACACAGCGATAGCTCAAAGCATACGCCTCCATCAGCGCTTGACGGAGGTCTTATCCAAGCTCTCTGAAGGAGTCGAACAGGAGCTCGAAGCTCATCTGCATGCCATCAACACGAGAGCTACCGAAGTGACCGATCAACTGCGTCGGATTATCCCTGATGTCGACCGACTGCGCGACAGCATTCAAGACATGGATCGAACCCTTTCCCAACAGATTATGGAGACAGCTCAGGTTTGATACTATAGCCGGCCGCATTCAATGGGCGTTTTCGCTGACTTCATAAGGCTTCGCAACATGCCATGCGGAACGGACTCGAAGATGCCCAAAATTTGCAGCAGCTACTTGGCGTTCTCCTCAGGACTGTGCTAAGCAGTAACGCTGAAGTTGCAGCATCACATGAAGTTGCCATAACCGCTTTCAAGGATCGTACTGAAAGTGACCTCGGTGTTGTCATGGCGGCACTCGCATCAGCCGCTGCATCCTCCGCATCGCTTCAATCCCAGATGGTAGGTGAACCTATACTGTGTGCAGAATTCTTGGCTAATTTTTGACGCAGGAGCTTTCACACCTTCGCGTAACGGAGCTCGCCGGTCGACAGCAGAATCTTGAAAAGGTGAGTAAATGTTTTCTGTCTTGCATTACCCCTGAAGCTAACGGTTGTAGGGTCTGGGCAGGCTATTTGAGCTCACGGAAGACCTTTCATCACAGTATGAGGTCCATTCTGAACATTTGACAGATGCCCAGAAAAAGTCAGAAGACATCCTGGTAACCTTAGACACGATGGCGAATTCTGCATCTGATATGAGCGGCTCATTGAAGGGCCCTTCAAGCTGGATGAAATGGGTACCATACCTTATTTGTCCCACAGGCACTCTTCTCATGGGATCGTATGGTCTACCTCCGTCCGCCGGTCGAAATCTAGTACTCATCGGCATAGGTAAGCTAGAGAATGCTTGTCTAGCCTGCTTCACACATGCTAATATTTATTACAGGGGAAGTTGTTGGCGCTGCGATCTCTCATATCGAATGCGTCAAGCTCGCCCCTTACGCCTGGCAAACCACTACGTCTGAGCCATCTTCTCATGGGCAATCAAACCATACTCTTCAGGTTATTCCCGCTGATTACGATGTTACTCGAAGATTCTCCTCAGATTTACGCAAAACCCGCCGCTAAGGGTAACCCAAGGAGTTCATCGGAGCCTTTCGAAATATCGATATACAACTACTTTCAAGGATGCGATGAAAAGGCGGGTATGGGATTTTCGGCGTTGTTTGTTTCTTTCTCTTTTTTTTCTGTTTTGTTTTTTCCTCCTTACAAATGGGTACAAATTGCTGGCTGGGTTTTGGTGGTGGCACAATTCACGGAAAAACGGGATGGGGTTGCCTCTGACATCATTTCTCGCATATGAACTTAGCAACGACCGCCTGATCGGGCACTTTACATAGCACACACACACATGGAGTTTGATCATTTTCAACCAGTCACTATCATTTTGATCTTCCGCGTCAATAAATGCGGCGCAAGGCAGACAGCGGGGCAGTGCAAGAAGAGAAGTCGGCTTCCCAGTAGCAATCGGCTCTTTCTCCTCACAAGCTGATCCCCGAACCTTGACCAAAGTTTGCTGTTATCTCCAACAGCCGGTTGTCTTACCATCTGCGGGATTAATTGAAGACGAGACGAACATGGTCACGATGGCGAGCAAGGCCAAGATTGCCCTCATACAGATGCATCCGAAGGTCGGGAATCCCCAGAATCACCTTGAAGCGGCTAGCTTATCCTCGACGGCATTGGTCGCCATCTTCTCATACCCCGCCCCTCGCGTGCGCGTGGCGCGTGCCTGGTGAGAACTAGCCATGGATGAACAAAGTTCTAACAAGCATCACAGGCTGTCTCGCCAGAAGACAACTTTCGCAAAGCAGAGTCCTACATACGCAACGCCGCCTCGCAGGGTTGCGCGCTCGCCGTACTGCCCGAGTACCATCTCACGTCGTGGGCGCCGGATCATCCCGACTTCGTGCTGAGCTGCGAGCAGTCGGGTTCCTACCTTGGGAGTTATCAGGCTCTAGCCAAGGAACTGAGAATTTCCATTGTTCCTGGCACCATAGTAGAGCCGGAAGGTGAGGGAGACGACCTAGACTTGATCAACGCCGCGTACTTCATCGGACCAGACGGCGCCATCCTCGGACGCTATGAGAAAAAGAACCTATGGCACAATGAGCGGCCACATCTGACCAAGGGTCCTCAACCACATGGGGCGTTTGATACGCCGCTTGGCCGGGCCGGACTGCTCGTCTGTTGGGATCTGGCATTCCCCGAGGCGTTCCGGGAGCTGATTCGTGACGGTGCGAGGATCATCGTCTGTCCCGCGTTCTGGATGGCGGACGAGTACAAGCGCGGTGGCTCCGGCGAAGTGGTGAACCGTGATTCGGAGAAGGTGTTCCTAGAGAACGTGCTTGTGGCGAGGGCGTTTGAAAACACAGCGGCAGTGGTGCTTGTCAATGCTGGCGGGCCCGAGGGCGGGGTTGAGAGGAGGTGGGATGGGTCGCAGTTGAGGTATTGCGGTGTCAGCCAGGTCGCGATGCCTCTCATCGGATCCATCGGGAAGTTGGGCGCAGAGGAGGCTGTGAGCATTGTCGAAGTTGACCTGGGCTTGCTGGACGTTGCTGAGGGGGCTTACAAGGTGAGAGAGGACATGCAGAAGGAAGGCTGGCATTACGGGTACTCAATCACCAAGGAGTGAAGACGGCGACTAAATGGACCCGAGGCCAAGGTACAGACAGATAGACTCATGACACAGAACAAGAGATAGGATCTCATAATGTTGAATATTCCTGGGTATCAAAACATTGTTCCTCTCTCGCGAAACCCCACTCCTGGAGCTATACCTGGTTCATAGCATTCCTTCCGCTTCGCCCAGGTAGTCAAGAAACTCTCTCCTTTGTTCAATCCGCTTCTGGGTATGCTTTCTCACCAAAAAGTCCCACGACTTCTTCAGCTTTGTGCGTTCCGAGTCGTCTTTTGACTCTGAAATTTTGCGATCAATGCGCTTCAGTCGTCTGTCGTCTTCCTCCGTCCAGACCCCTTCCCAATCTCTGGGTATAGATTTGTGCTGTTTCATATGCTTCAAAACAGCAGTAGCCAACGGCATGCATATGGACGTCGAGATGAGCGCGGTAAGTACATCCTCACGAGGATAGCCAAACCCTTCAAAGCTTTCAATGAACCCGTCAAGCTGGGCAATTTTCTCAACGCCTTGTGATTCGGGCTGGACATCTTTACCTCCCGCATGAATGACTTCTTCAGCTCCAGCTGAAAATTGAGATCTGTCGCGGGTAGAATCGCCTGGCTGTCGACGACAGGACTGAAAGCCATTATTTTGAAGGGAGGAGGGAAGCGGCGTTGCCGCCGCCAAGTCATCAAAAAGCTGCTGAGAGGGAGATATGTCGAAGCTGTCATGCTGAGAATCCGCCCGTTCATGGTCTTCGTCATCGAAGCCAAAGTCTTGCGTCTCGGGCTCCACATGCCGGGCTCTGGGCCCCCTTTGGACCCCGGTTTCTCTAGATTCGGGTCTGCCTGCGGAAGTGCTTGCGGGTTCCTTTCCGCTTAGTGATGGACTGATATCAAGCCCACTCATGCCGGCAAGTCCAATCTTCTCTTCGGGAGTGGGAGGCACTTCGTCATTCGGGCCTAGACGATGCCGCTTTTTGCGACCGTTTGGAGTAGATGGAGCACTAAGGCCGTCCATTTGGATGGCGGATCTCTTTCTCGAGGCGCCAGGCGTGTTGGTCGGAAGTGAAATGAGGATCTCATCATCCGTTCCAGCGTCAGCTTCAGTCTCTGTACGCGGCCGTCTTCTCTCTTCGGCATGTGCTCCCCCTTGGTCGACGATTTCTTCATCGCCCGAACCGTCATCATCGTCATCATCACCATCGTCCAAGGTGCTGAAAAAGCCTTCGGCGTGCTCGTTGTAACACTCCTCGAGGCGTCGAGAACTGTCGCGGGGGAAGCCCAGTTCCTCCGTTATGTCTTCCCAGTCGAGCTCAATCCCGCCTCGGGCATAGACATTCCGAACGGTACTCCACAAAAGCCAAAGATCAACAAGACGACCGGATACGTTAGTATTTGGGTCCTGTTTTATGAGATTCCGGTAGTCCTCAAGTCGCTTGTAGAACTGTTCTCTTGTCAAATCTTGGGGCTCCGCTCCTTCGTCGTCGTGTTCTTCTTCTAATCTCTCTGGGTCGGGCGGTTGATTGCTCCCAACTACGATACTTTCCTCTACAATGGGTGCAGATGATGGCTTGTTGGTGTGTTTGTTGCTGCCGACGTTGGTACTCGCCGCGCGCTCAGGGTCTCTCTCATTCCGGTCAGACGCAGAATCGTGACCAACATTACCAGGGGCTGGTCTAGCGCCTGGAGATCGTAGGTCAGGCGTGGGTTCGGCTTTAACAAAAGACTGTCTCAAGCGCTGCTCCGACTCTGCCCAGTGCTTCTGCCACGAAGTGGATGTATGACGGGGATACTGTTGCGGGTCAGCGATGTTATTCTTCCATGAAAGAGGTCGCAGTAATACCTTCTTGGCCAGATCTTGGAAAAGACCACTGGAGATCCTGCCGCCCCGCTGTTCGAGCTCTGAAACGCTGCGCAACAATACCTCATCGTCTTCCTTGGTGAACCTATTCCTAGTTGCCTCAGTCACCTGCGCATGTGCGCCTGCTTGTCTCGCAGCAGGTCTGAGTGACCGTGTAGTTTGAGGGCCGTTATGCCGAGAAGCTGATGCAGTGGCAGCGTCTGACGCGGGCTGAGCTCTCCGCCCGGTTCGAGGCGCATCGGGCAGAGACACTGTCGGGGATTGTGACTCGGGTGGAGCAGAATCAGCCAACTTGCGTTGGGCATCATAAGGTAATAGCTTCAGCTTTTTCACCCATCGATCTCTCCAAGAATGCCACGTATGACGATTGTTCTGGAAAATCTTGGATCAGTCAAGAGCTCAAATCAGGTAACAGGCGAACCTACAATTTGCTCGAATTTTTGATATATGTCATTTCCGCTCGTCTTGGTATTTGAGAGCACCCACCTGGCAAGCTCTGCGTCGTCGGCATTTGTGAAGGGGGTCCGAGTACCTTTGGCAGGCTTCGTTGACCCAACAGGACGAGCAGCCATAGGCGATTGGTTGATCTGGTACTTGTCTTCTTCCTGCATAGCGCCGTACTGGACAGAATCCTTTATAAAATTCCACGATAGCGAGTCTGGAGGACAGTCTCTTCTGACGTGGTCTGCGATCACCAAGTCGGCATGCTTGTCCAGTTTGACAATTTTCCCCCCATTTTGCTAGTTATATGAGCTTCTGAGATTCGTCAAACGAAGTAGCAAGCTTACTTTGATTAGGTCCAAGATCGTTGTTCTGTCGGGCACACGCTGCGTGACGAAGAACTTCTTCCCTTGGAACAGAGTGCCTTGAGCACCTGGCACGCCCTCGTAAACGATCGCCGTCGACATGCTTGACTTTCGAGTACAATGACGGGGGTACGTTGTGACTGCTTACTATCTCGGATCTTGATTGATTCGCCGGATGAGCTTGGTTTCACTTCGTTCAAGCCGAAAAATATGAGTAAAACTGAGAGAAGGCAAAGTCCCACAGCCTTTTGTTTTCAGCGTCGAACAGATGCTTGATTGCGCGGATTCTGATGGTTATGTTTTGGTGTAACGGTCAGCTGTGGGTGTTGGAAACTCGCCCATACGTCGCCGCCTGCCGAGCTGGTATTCTGCCACAAACAACTCGACTAAGCCTCCAGGAGAAGCTTTTCGCGTCGAGAAATGGCGTCTCAGAGTTGGATAAGTCTGGTTATACGTGGCCTGGATTCGAGCGCTGCTGTGCCGTGCCCTGCTTGTGCTCTCATCTATGTCGAACCGACGCGTAGCTTCTTAGAAGGCTCGTCGCGTACGGATACCTGCAGCTGCTTGAATCTGGTCGCATTATGCAGAAAAAAATACATGTAGCTAAAGGGTGAAAACGCTATGACCATGGAATAATGGCTATAACAATATCCCGGTACCTAATATCAGATGGCAAGAATGATCTCGACACTAACCTTGCTGACGCTTTGTCTGCTTTGTTCTCGGGCCGCGCATTCGAATTGACGAGAAAGAGTGTTGACCGGCATAAACGTGTACCTTACACAACCTACGGTTCGCTATCCGAAGCGATTTGCAAGTGTTCTGGAGGCTGTGGGCCTAGAAGGGCCTGTCTCCACCGCTAGAGAGGCTGATTTAACTGTTATTATTGCATTGACCAGGCTTCCTTTTCTACCTACACTTCTGGGTGAGAATCTTGGGTAAAAGTCTCCAGGACCCGGTGCCGTGGTCTTCTCGTGTCTCACCACTCACATAATGCTTTATTGGAGGTGACGACAAGTTTGGTATCATCATGGGATTTCTTCGGAACGCAGTGCTATTTGTGCTGGCCATCTCCTTCGTGGTCTTTGTGGCGTTCTTTGGCAGGTTGCCGGCCTTGAGGTCAGTCATCATTGAGCTCCTCTCTTAGCGACCTGGAAGCAGCGGGTTACCAAACACGGCGATTATAGACGCTCTGGCTAACAATTCGCAGGCATACGCCCGTTGCAACATTACATAGGATCATGCGGATCCATATCCCAAATGGTTTCTTGGCCATCGACAGGCTCCTGACGGGAGGGAGGTTCTCAAGCTCAATGTTGCGGTTCGGCAACTTTATGATGAATGACCGTCACCCAACTGTGGTCGTAAGTCGAAACACCAAGCCCACGTCCCAAACCGAGCTTGTTCGACGTTGTTCTATGCTGACAATATTAGATTTTCTTCTTGGTCTTGCTTTCTGTCTCGGAGTACCTATTTCTTCCGACTGCGTGGCCCCAAATTTCGACCTTTCACAAAGTTGCCGGGTCCATCGCCATCTTTCTGCCTTACCTTTTCCTTTATCTTTCGGTAATGACTGACCCAGGCTATATCACGCACGAGAATCATGCCTACTACATGTCGCTCTATCCCTACGACTGGTCAATTTTCTTTCCCGGCCACGAGTGCAAGACCTGCGGTTTTCTCAAACCTCCTCGCTCTAAACACTGCAGCATTTGCAAACGTTGTATCGCGAAGCTAGACCACCACTGCATCTTCATCAACGGCTGCGTCGGCTACAAGAACCACCACTACTTCCTTCTGCTCCTTGCCACGACGGCCCTCCTCACGACCTACGGTGGTTTCCTGGGCTTCTCCCTCCTGTCCAAGCATGTTGCAACCGAGTACCCGACATGGGCCCTGTGGCCGCCAAAAGGAATGGAGATCAAGGACTATCTCCTCATCTGGAATTGGGCACTCCAGGACAGTGTTGGAATGGGCGCAGTTACCTTGCTCGCTGCGATGATCTCGCCATTGGTCTGGGGATTGTTCGCGTACAACGTTTGGCTCATCTATAGTGGCACCACTACCAACGAATCACTCAAGTGGTCCGATTGGAAGGCTGAGATGGATGATGGCTGTGCCTTCAAACGGAAACTGCTGCCTAACCGAGTAAAGGATAGACGATACGAGCCGGAGCGAACGCGATGGCCCCTCGAATCACAGCAAGTGCTTGCAAGAACGGATGACGGCATGCCCCCTCCGTCGAACGTGTCCACGCAATCAGAATGGGAGCGAGTGTGGAAGTTGGCAGACGTCGAGAACCTGTACGACCTAGGGTTCTGGGATAACGTGGCAGACGTCTTCGTCCCCGACTACAATTTTAATGTTAAGCGTGACCAGCCGACTGTTGAGGCTGTCGGGCGACAGAGGCATTCAGCAAGAGGAGCGCCTATTTAGTCGTTCACAAAAGAAACTTTCGGAGAAACCATGGCGGAAGACATCGAACGGATGTTTACTATCTATCACCGTATCATGCAGGGCATCACAATGTTTAATCAATACACGTTTGACTTTAACCTCGTACCGTGACCGGATAAAGTTGGCGTTGCAGCAAGCGTTGGTACTCTATCTTGTCTCATTTCAACGTTTCTCATCTAATTCATGCACAGGCTGCTTCCAAAGACCCTCGACTGCTCATCTGCTGTAGACCTTGAGACGTCTTTCGAGTTCGTGATGGCTGCTGACCTCCCCGCGCCGTCCCTGGCTTAAGCTTGCCAGCCAGTTGACGAGAGCTTCACGCTCTGCTTGCCAACTAATGTGTCCTAACCAACCACCAAGTCTCTCGCTCTTTCCCTCGCTCATAAGTACATTCAAAGAATAGTACCGAAACTAATCATGTTAGCCTTTAGTCGCATATGAGTCGGGATCTATCATCTTACCCGAAAGTGCGCTTGATGCTGTTGACGTAGTACTCCTGCCAGTTGCGTCTCGTGGCGTCCTCCTCACCAACAGGAACGCCATCCCAGTTGACGCGCATCAGCGTCACGTGGTCGACATCATTCTGGTCGAATTCGATGTTCAACTTGGAAAAGTGACCCTCCGGCCACTGCTTCAGGCGCCAGCTCTGGACAATCTTCTTGGGGGCATCGAGCTCCAAGTATTCGCCAACGACGTTTCCGTCGAACAGCTCGAACTTGGCGCCCTTAATGGCTCCCTGGAAAACCTTGGGAGGCGCCCGGGTGAAGGCAGCAATGCGAGCAGGATCCACAAAAGTCTGGTACGCCTCCTCCGCGGTGGTACGGAACTCGGCCGTATCAGTCAGGGTGACAGTGTTGACAACCTTGCCGCTGCTGCTCTTCACGCTCGTAGTCTCGGCAGCAGACTTCGCGGCTGAGCCATGAGGATGGTACTTGGGTGTGGAGAAGCCGCTCGAAGGGTTTGAGCCCGGAGCGTGCTGGATGTCCTTGCCGTGCTCCGCAATCAGAGCGCCGGGGAGCTTCAGGAACTCCTTACGCAGCTGAGGCACAAGCTTGGAGCGGACCAGGTCCTTAACGGGTTGCTTCTCCTTGGACTCTGAGTAGATGTCGATATCGAACTGCAGGGATCGCTTAGCTATGGAGTCTTTGGTTGTCAGAGATTTCAAAATAGACCCACCACAAACTCGTCCTCCTCGGTATCGTGGGCGACCTCAGGAACGGTGATGGTACCCGAAACCTCAGCCTCGTCAGAGGTGGTGCCTGCTTATTGTTAGCCAGGCTCAATCAAGCACGATTCACGGAAGAAGCAATGGTGGACACCGTTGGTGAACATTTTTACAGGAGAAACAGAGTGCTTGCATTGCAGTAGAGACCTACCGGAGTATTCTAGTACGAGCTTAACATCGTAAATGGTGATGACCTTGCCCTTCCTCTGGCTGACGTCGACGTCGCCATCCATGCTCACAACCTTGCTAATCTTTGCCGTGACACCGCCCTCTGTGGACTCGACCTGCGTCAAGCTTTCCTCGAGGTATTGCTTCGCCCAGCCGGAAGCATCCTTATTGACCCAGTGCCAGTTGTTGGGGTTGTGGAGGACCATCTTGTCGGCGGTGACTTGGTTCTGATCTAAGGCTGTGAGGAGGAAAACGTGTGACTAGATGTCCAATTGCTGGTTAGCGGCTGGAAATACGCTTGGGCTTGCGAAGTGCGATGTGCGAAAGTATCGTTGAGTAAAATCAACGAAGTTCTCCGTGTGTCAGGGTTTGGTCGTAGACCGCAGCGTTTGTCATCAAAGATGGGAGTACAAAATCACTCTATGACTGGTGCCAGCTGTCGTATCATCATGTAGGAGAGAGAGATGGCGGGATTGAAAACAGCGCGGGGTAGATAAAAGGGAGGGGGAGCCTTACCTCAGTGTGGATTGGCGCGTTGGGTTGTCATGTCAAAGGAACGTTGTGGAATGGAAAGAGAGGAAAGGAAGAAATAAATCAGAGCGACGGAAGGCTTTGAGAGAAAGCTCTAGAATTTTGACGGCCCTCCGCTATCCGCAGGCAGCAACACCAGGCAGGGCAGGCGGTAAATTGTCGGCCGTTTGGTTTGGCCGCCTTGCGGGAGACCCACCGAACCTCATCTTAAGGTACCTACCTAAGGTACGGTAGCTTATTCCCTGACCCGTGCTTGGTAGGCACCTTAATCACGTCTGCCTTCTTGGTTTCAAACACTGACATCGCCATGTTCACAATTGTCCTTCGCATCCGTCCACAATACTCATTAGAGAACGCCTACTGTGCGCGGCAACATTTTTGTGCACCTAGCAGATTTGAAACCTTACTTCGATCGAGGATGAAGGGAAATGACAGTAATTAGAGACGGAAACCACGCCGACAACGACAACGACAACAAGGATGGCAAGCACAGAGGAAAAGTAGTTGTTACTCTGGCACAAGAAAATTATGGGTCTCACTCATCACCTCAGCCAAAGACATGAACGTAAGTAAAGTCTCTATCTCTGGAGCCGTACTTCAGTTGGCGAGGTCAGAGGCCATCTTCCGTTCTATTTGGCCTGCCAATGCTTACTCCCAAGACCCTGCTCGGGCAGTTACAACAAGATAATGGGTAGCTTGAATGTCTTCTCTGGATACTATTTGAGGAACATCGCAGAGCATGAAGCCAAAGAGAATGCAGCCATACCCACGTGGATCCGGCTATCTTGCATTTCGGGAAGCCCAAGTACCGAGTTGAGAATCCTACGTACGTACATCATGGAAACCTGTCTAGATACATCTGTACGTCGACCTCAACTTTAGGTGAGACGACTGGCTTGCAAGCCAAGCTGCATTGCAATTAATATGGATGACTTCTAAGCTGTCTTCTGGAAGCCGGAGCTGTACTCTCCCGGTCGGCTGGCTAGCACCCCGGTCATATTCCGAGAATGCTTACTACACAGCATTGTTTGCTCAATGCCATTGAAGTACCCGTAAGGCGTGGTATGGCACAGGCAACTGCACCCACACAATGTCACAGTGATGAGAGAGAAGTCCGGGAGCAACGCTGCGTGAATGTGGATCTATGAAACCTGCCGGAAAGACGAACTGCATCGCTACCGAGGCCGCGAACGACGCCACCGAGCCGAAAATAAGGTGCTGATGACCGATGTTGACGAGCGAGTATGTATGAAACAAATGAAACCATGCATCTTGTCGAGCAGCACGTCCAGATGAAGATTTCTTCTTCGGCGACCGAGGTCAAGCCCAGCAGATTCCGCTGTGGATGTGTACAGGCCGACTGGAATCTAAAATTGCAGCTCCCACTTGGTAATTGTTGCAATAATTAGAAACATTTCTCCGCCTGCTCATTGGGGTCTCTCCCCGCACGACCACGTTTTGTAGGTGTGCCCTACCTTTGAAGCTCTATCCAACCAAACAACAACACCTTAAAAGTACCTCATACTGATATTGTTGCTTACGTAGGCGAGCCATCCTCCCAGCCCCTCAACATTCAAAGGAGAACCAACAGGGCTGTCGAGTCGGTGAAGACGGCCCCCGAGGCCTGGCGATTGACTACGATAGGAGCGAAGCCTGCGAGACGCTAGTGCATGCCTTTCCTCGAGACAGGCAACCCAGGGGCCGAATCACCGGATGCACGAGGAAGAGAAACACGGCCGCGAGACAGAGACTTCAGCGAAGCGTCTTTGGTAGGTTGAAGGGCAGCTAAGCGCCGGCAACCTCTGTTCACAAACAAAACGTCCAATCACAACCCCAGCATGCTCTTTGCAACTTGCCGGGGTCTTTAGTGGGATCCAAGAATAGAGTCTCCTCCCACCAGTGAGCCAGCCAATCAAGGTCGTACTCCAGCAACATCCCCACGAGTCTCTTCTCTTGGCTCCATCAAAAAGACAGGCCATTTTGGACCGGGGTCCTGGCTCGATGCTCACTCGCGTTTCCTCTTCTTGCGCGGTGGCAGGTCACTAGAGGGGTTTGTCAATGCTATCTCCCACCCTACTGTCTTTCTGTTGGTTATCCATCTGGACTGAGGTCTTTGAGATCCGCCATCCGTGCCAGCGCGATGCTACCATCTCGGGCATCATGATGTTCCCCCTCTCCAGGTCTTGCTACTTGCGGTGTGCCGCTCCGGCCGACGAGATGTCGTGTCAGTAACACACCAATCTAGCCTCGTTCTGTGAATGAAAAAGAAAGTCAGATATTGCGGGAGCGGAACTGAGGGAACAGCTGCAAGTTGCAGACAGTCCGTCCAGATGGCAGACGCAGTTTCGTACCGGCACATGCATGCCTGTCGTGCAGTAGCAACCCCCTGGTGCCACACTGGATGTCTCCTACGCCTTCCCGTTCCATGCGCCCTCTCTTCGTCCAATGCTACAGTTGAGCAATCAAGCCTCCTCGCTGCCGACGCGAACGCAGAGATTGGGCAGACCCTCGACAATCATTAGCTGGCCACCACCCTCGTCCCCACCAGGTACATGGCTACGACAGCAAAGCCGAGAGCGAGCAAGCTGTTTGCTAAGACGTCGAGTGTCAACTACTAATACCTTGCCTTACGGTAAGCTACATGTAGTCTACACTATCAGATCCACCATCGCGCGTTTGCTCCGGGTCCCGGCTGCTATTCCTGTCCTCCCTCGTGCAAATACCTACGAATTACAACCCGCTCTCGTTTCCTACAGACGCAGAGGGGCTCCTCTCCGCTCTCCCAGTGTCTTTAACCCACCGCCCAAGAACCGGGTGTCACAGGGGTCCTTCTTGCGGTGGGCGATCAAAGTGTGAGCCACCACCCCCGGTACCCTCCTGCACGCATGTGGCATGTACGTGTGTACCTCTCCATATGCAGGAGGTTGACCACACTGCAGCAGACCCGGCCTAGCGTTGGGCGTCGCTTTTATCTACTGCCATCCTCCCACCAAACTTCGTTCCCTCTGCTTCAGCCGCGCCCTCCCACCCGAAGGTGTGACACAATTCACCTGTCGGCTGTCCGTCCTCCCTTTCAACTGTGTGGTACTAGTGTTTCTCGACATGAGATTGTCCTGCGACGAATCGAGTTGAATGGACCGGTAAAGAGCGCGAGAAGAAGAGACGAACGAGGTTGCGAGGTTGCTGGCTAGCTTGAGACCTCCCTTCTCGTGCAAGTGAGCAACTCAGCTACCCTCATCCTCCTTGCATCATTCCGGCGTGGCTTCGGAATCCGACTTCTTCCAAGTCACCGACGCCGCTCGAGTTGCTCAAAATCCCCATCCTAGCTGACAATGAGTAACCCTCGCGACCCTGCGCGGATGCGACAGGGGCTTAACCCATTGTTGACGCAGTCTTTGGGTTCCTATCACAGCCAGATCAGCACCCCGCTGTCTGGAGTCTCTTCAACACAACTCAATTCAGCCCACACGCCCGCCAGCTCAATCCAACCTTACAACCCGCAAGAATGGATTGCTTCGCCAGCCGCTGGTGCTGAGCAGCCACGTCAATATCCTGAACAAAGTGAATATAGCCTTCAACTCTGACCCAGGTTCATCTTGCTAAAACAGTTCTGCAGGATCACCGCTTCCCCCGCCTCCATATAGTCCACCGCGGAGTCAACGACCCCAGAGCGGCGTCTTCGATTCGTCACCGGCAGCCAACATATCAGCAGCCCGTATCCCTCCGACTAGTCTTCACAGACCCTCTCCCGAGCCGGCCACCAACACATCATTTCCTCCACCTCCTGGCACTCGAACGAGCTCCCGTGAACGACGTTTCGGTCTCCACTCTCTGAGGAGAAGCAGGGAGCATCACGAATCAAGTCCGCCCGAGCCAGTACCGCCTGTTCCGTCATTAGCAAGGCCAAATCCTCTTCAAATCCAGATCCCGCAGCCAGTGCCACAGCGTAACGATTCAGGCTCATCCGCGGGGCCTCCTGGAGCCCGAAGGGCTGCGTCTGCCAGTGCTGTTGAGACGCCGACGTCTGCCCGCTCACGCTCGACATCTCAGACCAGGTGGGAGCCCGGCATGCCGCTTCCGCCACCGCCCCCTGGCCCGCCTCCGGCCTCGTCCAGATCGCAAAGTCTTCAGAGTATGCATAGAACAAGTACACCGATGGCATCACCACCAACGAGACGACCACCCCCAAGTGGCGTCACTGCTCTTGGCCCAGTACCTCCAACGCCAGCCAACTGGGCCGATCAACCAGACACGCCCGCTCGCCCTCCTCAGAATCGAGGCTCGCCCGGCTTGACGATCGACACCTCCAGTGCTGCAAGCTCTGTTCAGACAGGCGAGTCCAGCAACTCAGCTGCACTCAGCTCTGGAAGTCTAAGCCGCGCAAGGGCAGTCCGTCACGATAAGACCATCGTCCAGCGCCGTGCGGAAAGTCGCAACAGATATAGCCTGCATCATAATTCCATAGACGGCACTATCAACCCAGTGCAGTTGAGCGAGATTGTCGTCCCGAACGACACCACTCTCACTCGTAGACTGACCATCAACAAGTCAACACCGAGAAGCGGAGGCCGGACGGCGGACGACACTCCTCGGACTGACGAGCAATCAACGACACCTCGAGCGGGTGGCTCCGCTCAGCGCTCTCGTCTCGAAGCTGCGACTCCGCCATTCTCGCCTCATCCTGTCAAGAGCACTTCGATGGTTGGGGGGTCGCCCAGCGTGGTGCCGAAAGCCCTACCTACGCCACCACCCCAGACTCGATCTGCATCCAGTTCGCAAACCAGGTTCAGGTCTATGACGCCTGCTGCGGATGGGCCCTCATCAGCTTCCATCTCAAGCACGAAACACTCCGCGATAACTCAGACAGCTGATCAATTCTGTCATGAAACGATTGAGCGGTTCCAGGCGTTCGCTGTCAAGGAATCAACGGCAGCAAGCGATGCCGACCGTGTACGATTGTTTGCCGACTTTATCACGAGCGAATCACGCATCAGACGCGAGAGATACTCAGCAGCCATTGGGGCTATGGGTTCGGAGATCTTCGATCTTACGAGGGATCTTTTTCGCCCGATGGTCACAAGACGGGAATCCGGAGCCTCTCAGGCTGAATGGACGCCGCAATCATCTGAGCCTACTCGATCTCACCGCGGCTCGCTGAATTCGATTTATCGCGAGACTCCAGGGGAGTCTAGTTCTGCCCCGGCTTCTGCTGCATCAAATGTCCCCATTTCACCTGTTGGCGGACCGCCAAACAACGCAAACTGGAACTCGAACTACATGCCATCGCTCTCCCCAATCTTGAGCATGAGCGTTAGTGACAAGCTGGACGAGGCCGATTCCAGAGGTCGTCCATCCAGCAGATGGTGGGAAGCCGATTCAACCGGGACAGCGGGCAAGCTAGTCGAAAGATCCAAGCGTGAATCCAAGTATATGGGCGTGCCGAAAGAAGCTCGAGAGGCTCTGCAGTGGATGGACAGTCCTCAGACGCAGGCAAACCCTAGCGACGGGCGAAGTTCCAGCGAGTATCCCCCGGAGAAAATGGGATGGCATGAGCCCGACTCGGCATCGACACCGCAGCAGCTGCGATACTCTGCACAATCTCTTGCTTCATCCGGCTCACCCACAACTCCAAACCCAGCCCATTTGGACGTGTCTCGCCTGGTCACCCTTCCGCCGCCCTATCCTCGCCACCACCCGGCCGTGAACAACAGCCATCCTGAACTGACAGAGACAAGAACTGCCGTTCGCCAACTGAGCGACCTCTCAGAGGTCGGAGTTACAAAGGAAAGGTTCCAGGTGACCAGCAACAAGAAGAGAGAGGAGGCATCCAAAGCTGCAGCCGAGCGCCGACAAGCCCTCAGAGTCAATCTTCAGCAGGAAGTTAACGTCGGCAACATGACATTTGCGGAGGCATCGGCCATTGAGCAAGATTCCGCGGCGGCGGAGAAGGACAAGCTCAAAGAGCTTGGAAGGACAGAGTTTGAGCAATTCCAAGCCCAGGTTGTGATGCCCCTGAACGAGCTCGTCACTGGCCGCATCGCAAAAGCCACGACCTTGTTCGACAAGCTGGCCAGTGGCTTGTTCGATAATGTCTCCAGCACTGCTGATATGCCACAAGAAGAAGGCGACGACAAGCCTGAGCTTCTCGAGAAGCTAACGCTTCTCAAATGGATCTTCGAGGCCAGAGAGATGCTACACCGAGCCATCTACGATGTGCTCACCGAACGCAACGATCGTTACCGAGAGGTCGTGCTGACGCCATATCGGCTCGCCGGCAACCAGGAGAAACTACAGAACGCTGTCGCTTTCTTTGCTGAAGACGCTGCCAAGCGCGAGCTGGCGTTCGCTCACGAGGTCCTGGCCCGTACCCAGGAGTTTCAGGCTGTTGTCGAACAAAATGTCATGCGTGGTGTCGAGGTGCAGCTCTCGGCATTCTGGGACATTGCGCCTCCTCTGCGCAGACTGCTGGAAAAGATACCGCCTAACCTGGATGATTTCAACATCCAAATACCGATGTCCGAGTACGAGGAGAACCCCTCGTACCGTGCACACCCACTACAATATCTTTTCAGCCTGCTACTGCATACGGAGAAGAGTACATACCAATTCATTGAATCACAGACAAACCTCCTTTGCCTCCTGCACGAGGTCAAGGAGGCCGTTACGCATGCCAAAGCCAAGGCCGTGCAGAGCGAGGGCGAGAACGCAGACGGACGGGAGTACAGCGCCGAGGAGCGCGAAGCACGAGCGCAGCACCTGCGCCAGGAGGAAGGCCAGATGTTGACAGATGATTTGAAGGAAAAGGTGCGCGTTGTCCAGGACCAGTGGAACAGCGCCCTCGGCGAGAACATCAAGAACGTCAAACAGATGTTGGGAGAACATCTCCTGCAGACCGGAGGGTGGGATGAGACGCTAGAAGAAGGAGGCGTGGGTAGTGTGTAACCACAGACGGCAGTCGCGAGACTTGATGAAGACGGGTCATGATTATTTCTATCACAGACGTTGATACCCATTTGCTGCGTATTACGACACTTTTGTTAGATTCTTGTACATAGTTGAGCTTCTTGGGTTGGATCTTATGAAGGGTTAGAAGCGGCATGAAGACACGAAAACCAGAAAGCACGAGATGAGGATCGAGATTTGGTTGCGGTTGCGGCGTATCGCCCCCTTATATGTCCTGTCAAATCATATGCTGCCATCGTCTGCTCCCAAAACGAGAAGCGCTACCTCATGTTTTCACCTAAACGCCCGCCTTTTGTATTGTACATGTCTATATCAGCCTCAAATGACCCTTTCAAGACGCTTGGTTGTCGTAGAATTGTGTGTACGTCTGGCATGCCTGTCCGTTGAGGCGAAACCTCCGTGGCTATTCCATGGTGGCCAAAATGCCAATTAGGAACGTTATTCGTTCTTGAACGTTTCTCCTGCCACCCCGTGTGACATGCCCTGAGGAGACGGGGTCTCTCTTTCCGAGAGCATTTTTAAGATCCGTCGTCACCAGGCCAGCGGCTTATTTCAGGCGGTTCTTGAACTCCTTTGGCAAATCCATGCCCACCCTCCGAGCTGTGAGGCGCACGCGCTCCTCCTCGTCCATGTTCATGCCCGGGTTGTAGCGCTCCAACAAGGTAACATAGGTGCGCTGAGCGCGGAGGTAGGCGGCAAACTGTTCGGCCTCGGCGGCGTCGGCTTCAGCTCGGTGGCTGGTTGTGGAGTCGGCGAAGCTGGCGCGCAGGCGGTGATGGAGAGGCGAGCGCTCGCGGGCCAGAACGGGGCGCGGCGGAAGCTCGCGAAGAAGAGATCGGTAGATTGAGCGGAGGCGTGGTGCAGCAGCCATCGTGTTTGGCTATCCTAGAGGAAAGAAGACGGGTGAGGTGGGCGGGGGTGGTGTCGGGTTGGTCGACACAAGTAGCGGTGCGGTGGACGGAATAGGATTTTTTGGTTGCTTCTAGGTTGGCGATGGGTTCAAAAAGTTGTAGGCTGGAGCTTACCTTCCATTGACCTTGCGCTTGTGGATTGCCTCAACGGGTTGGATCCCTGTGTCTGGAGTGCTGCTTCACTGGCTGAAGGCACGGGCGCCCCCGACGTACCTACCTTAGGTACCTTAGGTACCTACCATACCTACATGCTACTCGGGGAGGCAAAAAAAAAAAGAAAAAAAAAGAAAAAGAAATGACAGCCCAGGAAGGAGGGGAGCCGACCCCGCGCCGGCACCGGCACCTATAACACCTACCTATGCAGAGCTCAATACCCAAGGTAGCCTGCAGTGAGTGGGATGGAGGGGTTTTCTGAATTCTTGAGCTCTGCCCCTCTCTCAGTCACAGCAGAGCTCCAACGCATCTCCAAGTAACGCAGCCTGTCTTCTTCCTCGTGCAAGCGTGTCAACTGTCCCCCCTTTCCGAGTCAGGTCGTTTGTTCTCTTTGTGCATCCACCAAGTGGAGGACCGGAGAGAAAACTCGACGCATCGTCCTCTTATGATAGGTACACTAGACGTACAAGCTGGGCTTCTCAGTACGCATTCCTCGCCGTGCACCCACAATTGCATCCCAGAAGCCCACCGCGAGCGACGCACATGACGTATCAGCTTGGTCCAGTGTACATACAGACGAAAAGCGGTTTCCTCCTACATACACATCCCGCGTTTGCTAGCTTGTGTCTGTCTCCTCTTAGAATTCTATGCCCCTCAAGCCCGAGCCACAAAAGATCAAACAGAAACCCAGCTACGCATCCGTTCCCTTTCTCCTCTTCTCCTCCTTCATCGTCGTGACGCTGGCCATCCTGTCTTTGCGAGCCTTCCCCCGGCTCTCCCTCCTCTCGAACCACCTCGCCCTCCCCGCAAACTTTGCCCCACGAGCCATCTTCTTCTCGACCAACGCCAAGAACCCATCGCCCACCATGTCCTCGTACGCAAAGGAGCTCGAGGTCGCCCAGCTGGCTGTCCAGCGCGCCTCCATCCTCACCAAGCGCGTCTTCCACGAGAAGGCCAAGGGTACTGTCGACAAGAACGACAAGTCCCCCGTGACCATTGGCGACTTCGGCGCCCAGGCCCTCATCATCGCCGCCCTCCGCCACCACTTCCCCCAGGACGAGATTGTCGCTGAGGAGGAGGCGGCTCAGCTGCGTTCTGACGCTGGCCTTCGCGACCAGATCTGGGACCTCGTGCGCACCACCAAGCTCGAAGATGCTCAGGCCGAGACCCTCCTGGGCGGGCCCATCGAGACCGCCGAAAGCATGCTCGACCTCATCGACCTTGGCAACAGCAAGGGCGGCAGCAGCGGACGTATTTGGGCCATTGACCCCATCGACGGCACCAAGGGTTTCCTGCGTGGTGGCCAGTACGCCGTGTGCCTGGCTCTGATGGTCGATGGCGACGTCAAGGTCGGTGTTCTGGGCTGCCCCAACCTGCCCGTTGACGACAAGGCGCCTTTGACTGCCGATATTGGCTCCAATGCCACCGACAACACCGGTTACGGCGTCATCTTCTCCGCCGTTCAAGGCCAGGGCGCCACCTCGCGTCCCCTCCAGAGCGGTGCCATTGCCGACGGCGCATCCATCTCCATGAAACCCATTACCGAGATGTCGGCCGCAACCTTCTGTGAGAGCGTCGAGGCCGGCCACAGTGCTCACGACGACCAGGCTCAGATCGCCGCGAAGTTGGGCATCACCAAGCCCAGCGTCCGCATGGACAGCCAGAGCAAGTATGGTTCCATTGCCCGCGGCGCTGGCGATATTTACCTGCGTCTGCCTGTCAAGGCGACATACCAGGAGAAGATCTGGGACCACGCGGCTGGCGATCTCATCGTGCGCGAGGCCGGTGGTCAGGTCACGGATATCCAGGGCAAGAGATTGGACTTCTCTGTCGGCCGGACGCTGGCAAATAACAAGGGTGTGATCGCCGCGCCAGCCGCTGTACACGAGACCGTTTTGAAGGTTGTCCAAGAGGTATTGAGCCAGAAGTCAAGCTAGACGGGGATAGATGTTTTTTTTGAATTTTGCCTCTCCAAGACCCAGCAAAATAAATAGTGTACAATAATGGGTCTTCCTTAGTCCATACGGTGATGTACAGGTATACGCAGCCCTCTGGCCTGCCTCCCCCATTGTTTGACACGCCGCAGCTGCTGTTGCAGTAATGCAAGTCGTGATCCCACACACAAGAACAGCCGCCCTGCCACCAGTATAGCCGCTTATTTGATCTTCTTCTGCTTCAACTTGATCGTCTGGTCGTTGATGAATACACCCTTGCCCTTGTACGGCTCGGGCGGCCTCCACTTTCTAACCCTTCCAGCAAAGCTCATGATTTCTTCTCGGTCGATGCCCTCCAGCAAGATGCGTGTCGGCGAGGCGAGGGTGACTTTGACGCCCTTTGGAATACCCATCTCGACAGGGTGCGTGAAGCCGAGCTTCAAGCACAGAAAGTCCTGGTCCTTGTATTCCTCCTTGCCGCTGCGCTTCTCGACAGACGCACGGTAACCGATACCGACTAAACGTAGGAGTGCCGTGTGGCCTTCGGAGACACCCATGATGTAGCGCTGAAGATACGCCCATGTCGTGCCTGTAGTAGTAAAACAAAGAATCAGTCCGTCGCTCTTCGGCTTGTCAAGATACCTGCATGCAAGAGGGGAAGCAAGCATCCCAGGAAGGTGGAGGTGGAAAGATAGAAAACTAGGCCACTCACCCCACATCTCGCGTTGCTCCTTGATGTTGGAGTCCTCGACAGAGAGGATCGCTCTGCTAGACTCGGCATCCTGCTCAATTCTCACAAAAGGCTCGATCTCGAGTTCCAGTTTGCCTATACCGAACACGATCAGCAAGGGCTTCGCTCGGCCCATTATCCGGGTGCCCAGTACGAACCCAGAGGTCCTGTGACAGAAACCGTCCTCTTGTACACCTTCAAGTAGCTCGTCGGGTCCTTTTTCAATAGAGGTTCGCCAACCAGTAACTCCACGCCAGGAGGGATTGACAGAGGCGTCCGGCCAAGTTTCGAGGGTCGGATCGCTGTTGCGGAGAATTGGCGTCGGGGCATGGACTGCAGAGCCGGCACAAGGAATGCCGGAACCGTCGTGGACGGCGAAGAGGCCAGGGCCTGCCTCAACGCCGTTCCTCTGCTAGGAGCAAGCATTGTAGTCGTCGAATGGCAAGTTACCTCCCAGTTCGCGCGTGCTTGTGTTGCTCGATTGACGGTCGTGAGGGTCTTCAGGGACTTTTCCCACGCCTTAGTCATCAACAAAGGACCCACTTCAGAAACTACTGCAATTGGCCTGTACCAGCTCAGCTTCGCTTCGCAGCTTCGGTGTTTACGCCAGAAAGGTTGCCAACAAGTGATTTTCACAGAGAGAACTCGCGTTCTTACCTTGCTTCTTACATGGGCATTAGGGGGAATTCACAGGCGTTGATATTGGCCAGTAGTTACAGAACATTGTCTGATTCTTCGTACTCGAATGATACGTCAGGCGTACTACTAAGAGAGGTATATCTAGAAGCCCATGTTCTGGCAAAGCCAGAGTCGCGAAGCGAAATTCCACCACGGATGGAGTACATTGGTGGGTGTTGAGGGTGTGGCACTAAGCGTTAAGCAGTTATTAGACTGCGCTTAAACCTCCTCCTCAAGAGGAGCCTCCTCCTCGTACTCCTCCTCCTCCTCGTCAACACCAGCGTCCTGGTATTGCTGGTACTCGGAGACCAAATCGTTCATGTTGGACTCAGCCTCAGTGAACTCCATCTCGTCCATACCCTCACCAGTGTACCAATGCAAGAAAGCCTTGCGACGGAACATGGCAGTGAACTGCTCACCGACACGCTTGAACAGCTCCTGGATGGCGGTGGAGTTACCGACGAAGGTGGAGGACATCTTGAGGCCGCGGGGAGGAATGGAGCAGAGGGCGGTCTGGACGTTGTTGGGGATCCACTCAACGAAGTAGGAGGAGTTCTTGTTCTGGACGTTGCGCATCTGGTCCTCGACATCCTTCATAGCGACCTTGCCACGGCTGGAAAATGAGTTAGCAAAATCACGGAAAAGGAATCATTCGGGTCAACTCACAAGATGGCAGAGCAGGTCAGGTAGCGACCGTTGCGGAAGTCGGAAGCAGCCATCATGTTCTTGGGGTCGAACATCTGCTGGGTGAGCTCAGGAACACTGACGGCACGGAAAGAGTGGGCGCCACGGCTGGTCAGGGGAGCGAAGCCGACCATGAAGAAGTGGAGACGGGGGAAAGGAACCATGTTGACAGCCAGCTTGCGCAGGTCAGAGTTCAGCTGACCCGGGAAACGCAGGCAGGTAGTGACACCGGACATAACAGCGGAGACCAGGTGGTTCAGGTCGCCGTAAGAGGGGTTGGACAGCTTGAGGGTACGCATGCAAATGTCGTAGAGAGCCTCGTTGTCAATGCAGAAGGTCTCGTCGGAGTTCTCGACCAGCTGGTGGACGGAGAGAGTGGCGTTATAGGGCTCGACAACGGTGTCGGAGACCTTGGGGGAGGGGACGACGGAGAAGGTGGCCATCATGCGGTCGGGGAACTCCTCACGGATCTTGGAGATCAGGAGGGTACCCATACCAGCACCGGTACCACCGCCGAGGGAGTGGGTGATCTGGAAACCCTGGAGGCAGTCGCAGCCCTCAGCTTCGCGGCGGACAACATCGAGAACCTGGTCGACGAGCTCGGCACCCTCGGTGTAGTGACCCTTGGCCCAGTTGTTGCCGGCACCAGACTGGCCGAAGACGAAGTTGTCGGGGCGGAAGAGCTGGCCGAAAGGACCGGCACGGACGGCGTCCATGGTACCGGGCTCCAAATCGACGAGGACGGCACGGGGCACGTACTTGTTGCCGGAAGCCTGGGTAGGAGCGAAGGTCAGTACTCGTCAATATGTTTATCTTGCACTCTGGGGGCTATAAGGTAACAAACTTCGTTGAAGTAGACGCTCATGCGCTCGAGCTGGAGCTCAGAGGTGCCGTTGTAGCTGTTCGAGTTTAGCGGTCAACCATCAATGTGGCCAGATAAGGGGCATGACATACACTCCATTGCTGTCGAGGCCGTGCTCGCCAGAAATGTTTTGCCTACTCTATCGTCAACATCTGCCGTCCTCGCAAGTATATATTGCCGGGTCGTCGGCGGTCTCGTCACGTACCAGAAGGCAGCACCAATCTGGTTACCCTGTACAAGGAGGTTAGCCCCGCAATCAGGCGGTTGGATTTGGCTTGGGAAGACTTACGCACTGGCCGGTCTGGAGGTGAACCTGTAGAGAAAAAAAGCAGCAGTCAGCAAAACAATCCAGAGTTGGGAGTCGATGATTGACAGGCGTCGCGGGTTTGTTGTGCATAGAAGTCGGGTAAAAATGTCGGCGGGGTACGCTCAGGGGCAAGGCGGATAAACGCGTCGCAAGCGTTGTTGTGATTGTGGTGATGGACTGCAACTTACAATCTCACGCATTTTGGATGATGAAATACACTGAGCTGGGCTTGACCGAGGATAGGCGATGAGAAGAGCTTGAGAGCTACGCGCGAAGCTTCAAGTCGGACGTGGTTGGGGTGGAGGTGGATGAGGTCGAGAGGATAGGTAGGGGAAGAGGTTGTTGATTTTTGTTTGCGGGTGGATGTGATTTTGTTCACCGCCACGGGTCCGACACCACGCCAGCGAGGCCAGAGGGGAAGGGGTGCAGCTCGCTTGTTTACTGCTTGGGCCCGTGCATCCCCGTATTTGGCATGGTCTCAGTGCAAGGCACCCGCCAGAGCCAATTGACGGTGGGGTGCACTTGAGGTGGCAGCAGCACTCAATTGGCAGGTACGTATCCTTTGGTCGCTGTATCCATACCTACCTACAGGTAGGTACCTAAGGTATTGCATTTTGAAGAAAAAACCTCTGGTACCTAAATTCGTTACTTTGCGATCCGAGACCCGGAGATGGGTAGGTTTAGACGTCATCTCATCGATGACTAGGCCTGCTGAGGCATCCGACTACCCACGTTCATTCTGGAGACTGGAGAGCATCCTGAGCAGAGCGATTGGGGGCAGCCACAACTTCTCGCCGCTTACCGAAAGTCAATGCCCAATAAAGAGTAGTCTCTGAATGGCATTGCTCGGCATTGGCCTCAAGCGCTCTTCAGAAACGCTAAATTGCCAGTGGGGCTTCGCCTTACAGGGGACTCCATTGCTCCAAATGAGCTTCCGGTGTGACCTGAGAGCCATTTCAACCTGCCAGCCTTATTAACCAGGGCGATCACAATTGGCACCGTATCTAGAGAATGGCTGTCTTTCCTGTGTCTACGCGACTTGAACCATCGTCCCCTGGGCTTAATTGACGACATTGGTAGAACGGCGACAGTACACGACAACACAGTGGTGACAGTATCAACAGACGATAACTATAGAGACAGCGAAAGACCGACGGGAGCCTACATACAGAAGTCGCCATAGCACAATGAAAACAGGTCTCCGGTCTCAAGATCCGAATGCATATTGACAGGCATCAGACTTGCATCGCAACACGACGTAAAAGCATCTCTATGTTGACGACTGGTACGACTAGTGGGCCTTGACGACACCCGCAGCGTCCGCCTGCGCAGCGATTCTCTTCTTGTATGCCTGGACATCTCCTGGGAACTTCTCGACCGTTCCGCCATCACACACCCAGAGCGATGTGCATACAGTCTGCAGCATGGTGACGTCGTGAGATACCATGAGCACGCCGCCCTCGAACTCCTTCAGCGCATCCGCGAGAGCATCCATCGCTTCAATATCGAGATGGTTGGACGGTTCGTCAAGAACCAGGATATGCGGGTTGGTCAAGGCCAAGCACGCAAACGCGACACGCGACTTCTGACCTCCGGAGAGCACAGCCATCTTCTGCAGACCCGTCGTTCCCGTGATACCAAACGCACCCAGCTGTCTGCGATATTCTTCGTCCGTCTTGCCGGGGTAAGTCTTGGCCATGAAGCTCACGGCGCTCATCGTGAGGTCCAGCGCATCAACGTGATGTTGGGCAAAGAAGCCTACACGCAGACGCGGGTTCTGTGAAATAAGTCCAGACGTAGGCGACAATTTTCCGATCAGCAACTTGAGGACAGTTGTTTTACCTGCACCGTTGGGTCCGACAATACCGATACGGGAGTCCAGCTGCACGTCGAGGTCCACGTTGCGCAGCAAGATGTTCTCCTTGCTGTAGCCAAACGTAACCCCTGTCATCTGGATGATAGGGGGAGACAGCTTTTCGACCTCCGGGAACTTGAACTTGACGCTGTACTCGGTCTCTGGCGGCTCCAGCACCGGCATCTTCTCCAACTTCTTGATACGTGACTGGGCTTCGGAAGACTTCGCCGCGTTGTAGCGGAACTTGTCGATGAAGGCTTGAAGATGGGCTCGCTGAGCCATCTGGTTCTCGTATTCTCTCTTGGCGGTTTTCTTGCGCTCTTCGCGAGTTGCATAGAAGGACTCGAAGTTGGCACCACGGTAGTAGTCGAGACGTTGAGAATGCTGGTGGATGATGTCGGTGGCAACCTCGTTGAGGAAGGCTCTGTCGTGAGAAACAACCAAAACAGTGCTAGGGTATCCCTGGAGGTAGTTCGACAAGAAGGCGATGGAGGGAACGTCCAACATGTTTGACGGCTCGTCAAGAAGCAGCAGGTCGGGCTCACAGAAGAGCGCTCTAGCCAAAGCGAGACGCATACGCCATCCACCGGAGAAGGTCTTGGTCGCGTTTTGCTGGCGTTCAGCGGAGAAACCAAGACCAGCCAGAATACTTGCAGCTCTCGATTCAGCCTTGTCAGACTCCATCTCTGCCAACTTGCCCTGGATGTCGCCGAGTCTGTTGTCCAGAGCCTCTCTGTCTCTGTCGAGCTTCGCAGCATCTGCAGAAGTGTCCGCCAATGAGGCTCGCTGAGTCTCAATGTCTGATAGTTTTTGTGTAATTTCCTATGCCGAGTCAGCACCATTACCCTGGGAGAGGTTGGACGGCCATATTGCCGGCAACTTACAGCTTGCTCCTTGAGAAGGACCTTGCGCCAGACGTCGGCGTCAAGCACGGCTTGAATTGCGGGCGTGTCGTCGCCAGTGAGCTGGGAACTTGTCAGAAAGAGGCCATCCACGGTGCGTCTGACACGGTCGTTCTTACCTCCTGCTCTACGTGAAGAATGGTGATGTAAGGTGGGATTGGCAGCTCTCTGCGGGACAAGGCGCGCAACAGAGTAGATTTACCAACACCGTTGTGACCAACGAGACCGTACCTGTGACCATATGCCAAGGTGAAGTTCGTGTCGGTCAGTATACGCTGGCCACCAATCGAGACGTCGACGTTATCCAGCTTGATGTCTTTCGTCTTGTTCCCACCAGAAGAACCCAGCTGGAGCGGGTTGACTGCCATGTAGAATTCTTCGTAAGACTGAGTGGACTCAGGCTCGTTCAGCAGCTTGGATGCCTCATACTCGACGGTCTTGAACGTCTTCTTCTGTTGCTTGGCGGCAATCTTGCGCTCGGCCTTCTCGAGTTTCTTTCTGTCGACCTTGGACTCGACCTTGCGAGCATTGGCAGACTCTAGATCAACAGCACCGGTGGCTACGGCGAGGGTGGAAGATATGTTGCGTTGAGAGCCGACTTGGAAAGTCTGGTCGAGGCGCTTCACAGCCGAGGGTCCACTGCGCTGAGCCCCGTTTGCCTCGCTATACTTTTCAACCCATTTCTCGACAAGCTTCTCGATTTTCTCCTGGAGTTTAGCATCCGGTTTGCCAGAAGCTGAGAGCAACAGCTCAGTAACCGTGGAAGCTGCCTCAGCAAGAGGGGATGGCCCGGACTGCTCCTCCTCATCTGACCAAATGGTTGAGGCATGAGTCAAGTAGCCAACCGAGTACTCGGAGAGCACCGGGTCGATGTTGGGCAGGACAGTTCTGATTTCGGCTTCCATGCTGGGTAGAGGTTGACCGCGATATGCAACTTGACTTGAGTGAAAATTCCGAAGACGGATTCGCCAAGAGAACTGGCCTGATATTGTCTTGTCGCCTTGAACGTACAAGGTCTGGGTCACAGAGATGCCTAGGTCGAGTATTCCTTGCTTGTCAAAGCTAAATCAGCGACTCGGCGTTGTGTTGGCTAGCGTTCGTGATATCACAATTCGCCTTTGGCTCAGAGCGTCAAAAATGTGGGACTGAGAACTGTATGTGACCCGGGTGCTACGGCCCTGATCCAATGTGAGTGAGGTTGAAACCCGCACTATGTGGGAAGAACTTTGGTCCGAGAAATTTTTCGTTTAGGTACCTACAATACACCCCCTGAAAGTTTGTTACCCTCCATACCAGCTCAAAAAGCAATGAACCCATGAAATTAAGCAGAGAAAGATATTCAATTCGTCACTAAACCCCAGAATCTTATAATATGCACTTACAGGGCCGAAGTACCACGCTTACAAACATTCAGGGGGTGTATTGTACGTATCTGGGTACCTACCTAACCGGGCAGTACCTCCTACCTACAACCTCAGTCTAGGTTCAGTATCCGTATACCCCGCATCAGGTGCTATTGTGTGGGCTGGGGGCACTGCAGCCAATTACAGTCTGTATCGCCGCAGCGTCAACTGGCTGCCAAACAACCACGGCCGGGCCCTGTGGCGAGCACGTCGCACTCTCTGGTTTTCTTCGAACACTGCTTCTCTGCCAAAGATGGTGCGACTGCCGATTCTGTATTATGTTATTCCTTGCGGCATCTGCTAGTTACAACGCAGCTCAGCATCATTTTCAAGTCGGACACACGCCATCTCGACACCGGCAGTGCGGGTAAGTCAACGAACGGTTGGCCCGAGCCCATGGAATCGGACAAGACATCTGGGCAGAAGGAGCTCCTTTGAATCAGAACGAGATCACCATTTGCCTGTGCTTCCTTGTCACACTAGGGCAGCTTTTTCGAGAGGCAAAAGCCACCGCCGTCACCAACATTACATCGCTGCTCATTGATGAAACCTCTGGGTCTCGATCCAGTAGAGGCGAGCTGAACAACTCTGCAGAGCCTAGCTCGGACGACACGAACGAATTGGGATTGTCAAGAGTGTTGGCTGCGGGCCGGGTACCGCGATTTGGCGATATGCGGAGATTAACGACCGCGTCGCAGGCTTTGCGCGTCTGCAAGTCAATCGTTCGTTATCGCGCCCGGGCCAGCAGTGGTGCTCAGAACAGCACGCGAAGACGTGCCGGGAACCATCTGAGGCCAATTGTCAGAGCCTGAGAACCCAACACCTTGTGCCACCAATCGAAACCTGCGTAGACACTGCCGCAGCCCGACAGCGATGAAAAGAACAGGCTGCTCTTGCGCCATGCTACGCCATGCACCGAAGATCTGTCCAGGGATCCCAGCTTTCACTTAACGTTATCCCAATGTTATTGCCGCCTCGACCAAGGTCTCTGAACAGCATCTCAAACCATCTCGCATCTTCCTGCTTGGTCATACGTGGGCAAGCAGGCCCAAGTTCGCTGGACAAATGGCCGAGATGTCTCGAATCGAAATGAGCCACGAGTCCGATGGCGTCACATGACTGCCATCCATCAGGAAAAGCTGCTGCTGCTGTGGGCTTTTGAATGAGCCGCGCCGGAGCGGCACCTCATGGTCTTAGAAACCCTTGTTGCAACGTAAGGACGGGCTTGGCTCGCTACATCGGCAAAATTCCTGTCATCCTATCATGTCACGTTATGTCCATTGTCTCCTCACATCCGTGACGGATCAGAACCAGGAAGGATGGGATCCCCCCGTTCCGGATGACATCGGACGCTGCAGCCGAGTGGGAACGTCAGCTCACCGTCGGTATCGCTCCTGACCTCTTACCGAAGGAGCCTTGGACCTTTTTGACCTATTTGCGATGCACCTGTTCAAATCAAGTTTTCGCATTATTAAGGGCACCGTCCGGATACAGAACCCTCGACACCGGTGAGACAGCATGCCGGGTGCCTCGCCAACCATGTACATGCGACGGCGTCCATTATTGTCGAGGAGAAGAATACGACGTCCATCCGCAGCGAGAGTAGCAATCTGACGCGGATATGGCAGTTGGGATATACCATCTGGGTATCTGACTCCTCTCAGAAACGGCCAAAGCTTATCCAAACGATACGAACAGTTATGCCCGGTGTAACAAGGACAATGGTCAGATCTCTTCGACACTCGGGCTTGCCCAAACAAACGTCAACAAGGATGCAATCTTTGACTGCCTTATTCCATGTTGAAATTCTCTGGGCCAAAAGGCTAAATAAGGCGCATTCTGCCTTTGATACTGGAACTTCCTTGTCCTGTACGGGAGCGGTGCCAGGCACAAACCCACTGCTACTCAGGCCCACTTGGTCGTTGAGGATTCATCATTATCATTAGAGACTTTTGCATCGAGCCCTAGGCGTCTGATTCGACGTCTGATTCGGGAGATCCGGAGTACCGGAGTGACCCCCCATCTTGCCTTGTGGACAGCGGGTTGCAGAGACATTTGGTTCGCATTGGACTGGATGACGAACAGCGGCCTAAACCACTCGGGGGGTTGATCCTCACGACTAACAAATGGGAACCACAGTTGCTGGAGGTTCACATGCGCGTTGGTGCTAGACAGCCGCCAGTAGCGTTGAATGGAGCAGAAACTCATGCACAGTCTGCAGAATACCCAGGATCATCAGCAGGGCGCCACTCATGAGTACTTGCGGACAAGATTTCGTGCATTCGCATCGCCCCCGTTTCCACTGCTGCGTCGACTCCTCCGATTTCCTTGACCCGCGCGCCACGGACTGAGGCTCCTACTGTTGTTTCAAGTTTCACTCGGCTATTCTGCTAGCAGGGCAACTGTCCGTGGGGACGTTGGTGAGCCCAGAGCGCAGAGCTGTGCGCCGCCTCCCTTGGCTTCGATTGGCCATAAGCGAATGCACCCGTTGAAAAGCTAGCCTCTGCTGCAACGCGCTGGCGGAACGCAACTGGACTGGCTCCGGACCCTGGACCTTTTTTCCATGCTTTTTCCTTCTCAGATTGACGCGGACAAATGACCTGGCTCATCGGGACCCCTCATCATTGCCGAATACTTGGTAATTGAGAGCCTACTTGGCCAACTCTGGACTAAAGCGTCGACCAAGAGGCGGAATGATAATTCAAAGCATTGCCTTGGCAGCTTTCGTCGGTCAGATCGCTTACGGACTTAGTCGCCCGGCCATGGCCACTGTGTATCCGTAGCTCGTTAGCTGTTGATGGTGAGATGGCGTTTCCGTCTACGCTTCCAAAATCAGGTCATGCGGAAAGGCAGCTTAGCCTTGTTGAAGCATGCCAACGTCGTATGGCAGGAGACGGACCTTGGGTCTTTTCGACTTGCGACGACAACAGTACGACGACGACACGAACGACAGAGGCGGCTGGGAGTTCAATGAAGTACCAGTCGCATAATGGTAACGCGCCAAATCAGCGTTAGATCCGTCAACCTTCGTCCGTGACCCTGAAATGAACTTTCATTTTGCTGATCGGGCCTCTCGCTCTCTGCCTCTCCCTTCGAAGATGGGACCATTAGACCGACAGAGTATACAAGTGACGATCCGCCGCAACTGGCAAAAGTTGAAACCAGCTCGGGCCCGCAAATTATCTGCCAGCTTCGAGGCTCAGCATGTACTCTCACCACGGTGATCTCAACACAGTGACCAGCAGGGTTGATTAGACACAGTTTTACAAGTTCCCCAAAGTGGATCATCCGGGACGAAGACGGGGATTGATCCAGCGAAACTCACCGAGCACTGGACAATGGCAGCCAAAAGCCACCTTATCTACCCATGCAGCGCGCCCGTAGCCCACAGGCAGCATCGAAGGTCTAAGGCCCCGGACAGACGAAAATGCCGGGTGGCCGCAAGTCGAAATGGCCCCCGTTCGTTCTTCTCGAAGGAATCCACCAACTAACGAATACCCGCCGCTCTCTGACACTAGGACCGAGTTACGCTGCCACTAGGCAGGCGACGCCGCAATATGGAAGCGTGCGTTGTTGACGAATGGACGAGCCGCTCTAGCGGTAAGACGGAATAGACAGCCTGCTCAGCAGGAAAGCTATTCGGCGTTTGGTCTAGAGAAAGATGGAGGGGAAAAGCATGGAAGCGGGAATGTACCGACACGAAGTCGTCAAGTACACACTCGGGCACAGTTGCTTGCTGGCTTGACGAGACGAGAACGAGGCTGGCGGTCAGAGATGGCGGTCATCCACCGCCTCGGCCGACTTGTTCCCCTCTCTGCGATGCCTGGGCAAGTTGATTGGAGGGTGCGGAACAGCTGTTGCGTAATTATCCCAAACAACAATAGGGCAACGCGGGAACTGGACAACTGCGGGCGAGGCTTCGGGTGACAGAAATATCGTCAACTTTGTTGCGGCCGGGTGCGACATGATCTTTTTGTGGATCCAAGCTTGTTGATCAGGTAAGGTCGGGAAGAGGTAAGGTACCTTACCTGACCTGCCTACTTTGTGCCGCACTTCGCAAGTGTCGCTGCACTCATCACTACCTGCAACTACCGGAGTAGGAGCGAGGAACGGCAACGCAGCGAGCACGACGGCAACCTGCGCATATCTGGGACCCAACCGGACACGACACGAGCGGCGGGGCTGAAAATGACAAAAGGACGTAACGTTCGCGTTCCGTTGTAAAAGTTGAAACGACGGCAAGTCATCTGCAGTGCAACCAAGACGGTCATGTTTGTGACGGGAACCATGGTGTTGAAAACAGCTCGGTAACTGAAGAATTATGTACGGTTGGATAACGGCCAGGCATTCCGGGATCTGGTGTGTATATGTGTGTGTGAGGTGGACGAGTTTGGTATCTTGTTTATTGTTTTCTTTTGTGCGTGTGTGTGTGTGTGTGTGTTGTTGTTGTTGATGCCCACACTCAAAACACAGGCCAGCAGGTGGCCCACAAGGAGGCCATG